TTTTCGCCACCCTTTTCGGGTATGAAATTGTTGGCTAGAGTCTCCCGAAGAATTACGATTCGGCTTTTCTTCCTTCTCCTCAAATTTATCCCAGCCATCGCGTGGCTTAGCTCTCTCTCTGCCTCTCGTTTGTCTCGTAATCTTTAAGATCGTTTAAAAGGGTTGCGAGCGTAGAGCCTAAAACCTTACTGCGTAAACGGATAATTTCTCTTGTCTGAGCTCGTAAAAGTTTCCTAAAGTTATTATTTTAACACCGAGCTTTGAGCGTGTCAATACATTTTTCTTCAATTAGGCCTGATTACTTAAAGATACTTACGAGGACGAAGAGAGAGTTTAGACGTGCTTAGAAGTGTCGTTGACTCTTTGACAACATTTTCTTACTGGAAAGATAACTTCGACTTATGCCAAGAAGCAAAAAAGGTAACAGTTTTTCCGAAGAAAAACCGTAAATCTCTCGCGATGAAATAAATCGTCGAATTCCCATTTCCCTCGCTTTCTTGTCTACACGTAAATATAGCCGCGCAGTTCGAGCTATACGCGTTATCCTTTAATTATGCTAAGTAACGTCTTCCCGTTTTCAGTCGGTCGAAAAAAGAGTTGTATAGCAGCAGTAGCAGCGGCGGCGAATTCACGAAGTTGATCTCTCTCTCTCTCTCTCTCTCTCTCTCTCTCTCTCTCTCTCTCGCTCTCTCTTGGCTTTATATACACACAAACGGTCACAATATTTAATCGTTATATGTACCCCGAAGCTTCTCTGATCTATATATTTTCACGATGACGATGAAGTTTTTCCCGATGTTTCTCACTTTGTATCTGCGTATACTATACCCCCTTTTTACGTAATGAAAATTCTAAACGTTCGTAAATACACAGAGCTGCGATTCGCCTGGGAAAAAATTCCCGAAGCGCGCAAAATTAAAAAAAAAACTCAATTACATATCCAAGCACGAAAATTAATATTCACAAAAAATTGATTGCTCGTTGTATATTTTCGAAGGCACACGTAAACGATCTCTTTTTTCAACTTGCCCGAAAATCCGTATCCTGAATATATACTCACGCATACAAGCGCGCGAAAGAATATATAAAAATGAGCGATGGCATAAGAAGAAAATGCAAAAAATATATGCATGTAAATTCGCGCGTACAACGTTGTGCTGCGCACACCTATCCTACGTGCATACGCACATTTTGCATTTACAAAAGTTTTCCCTTTTTTTTTTTTTTATTTTCATTTTCGCATGCGCGTCCTCGAGCCATGCGCCCGAGGATGGTGTAATCGCGCGCGTGCAGGCACATAATCGCGCAGCAGCAGCAGCAGCAGAGAAAATAACAACGGCGAGTGCAGTGTGCAAAAAAAAACGAGAGAGAGAGAGAAAAACTCTCGTCGTCGTATGTATGTACACTAGTCCCTTGGCGAGAAATCGTGCAGCGCTGCGTTGGGTTTATATAAATATAAACACGAGAAAGACTAAATGCATGGGTACAAACACAAATTTAGTCATCCTTGTTGCTGCCGTTGCCTCGTGTCGCCTACGTCGACGCGCCGCAGCGTCAATCCCCGCGACCCCATTTCCATGCAAATGCAGATTTAGGTATATATAGTATACGTATGTGTATGTGTACGAAGGAATGAGAAAGCCATAACTTGTCGATGTAAAATCACGGAAAAATGTGTATACATAGGTAGTTAGTTCCAGGCCGAATACGCAGACGACGACGATGTAGTTGTTGCGTAGGGGGATGATATTACAGCGCGTATTATACAGAGCTTGCACGGGTACTTGAGCTCTATATCGCGCGGTCTTCCCTGCTTAATCTTCCAAGTTTTTTTCCGCGCGTCAATGAGAGGCGCAGTGTACATGGTATTTTATTTTACTGAAAAATCTGAAAAAAAAAATGATGTCTTTCGAAAGTTTTGATTTTTTTTCTCCTTTTTTTTTTTATTCTTCTCAAGAAACTCGAAGACGATCGGCACTGACCATTATCGCAGGCAAATGTAATACCGAGAGCTTCTTTATTTTTTCTCTCCCTCATAGAGAAACGTCGAAACTTTGACAAGATACGCGTGGATACGCGTACAGATGTACGCGTACACAAAGTTGGATACGACGTTCCGTAGAAAACTATACGCGTCCCTTGGGGAATGATAGGCACTTTAGTAAAGGACCGAATGGAAATGATGCTGTCGGGAGAGAGATCCGCCTTAGGCCTTTGGTCAGGTCGTAGCCGCCTTCGCTGCTCTTCGCTACTTGGTCAGCGACAATGTCAACCAGCTACATATATATCGCGTGCAGTAGTATACTCGACGTCGCGCGAGGGGTGGTGATTCGCTGTATGGTGCTACACTGGTGTACCCCCGGTAACGACCTATCCTCGACCGGCCAATTTCACTGATCGAATCGACGTTCCTTTTATTTTTTTTTTATTTCTATATCGCCTCTTTTACTTTTATATGCGCGTGGCAACGTGAACAGCAACAAAAAAAAAACAGCGGCAGCAGGGCGCGTCGACACAGTCGAGTGGCTCGAGAGAGCTCATCGTTGTGACTCCGCAGCGCGCAACATCGATAATGTCCTCGGTCGTTGCTTTTTTTCTTTCTCTCTCTCTCTTGGACCCAGACGATCGTAAGCCTCATTGGAATAATTTATCGTCTCGTGTTTTCGTACTGCTTGGAAGATTTTTATACACGCGGCTATGCCGAGATAGTGTACTAATTTGGGACCCCTTGAAGGTGTAGTGTAGTACGTAATTGTACTGCGAGGTGAATGGCTTTTTATGAAATATTTTGCTTAGTCAATGACTTGCGCAGAAATAAATAAAAACATATGGCAAATACTACGAAGATTAAACTTATACAATTATTTGGACTTAGCCACTTGCAGATTTACAGATACGTAGGTTCTCGCCACCTAGCGGTGGAGGCTCAAAGTGGTATTATCGTATTCAAAGTGTTTCAAAGCTGGTCAAAATTTTTTAAAGTAGTTCAATTTTCAATTTCAGGTCATTTTAAATACGTTTGATATTTGTGACAAAATAAGTAAAATAATCGCAATTTATTTCAAAACATTTTTAATGGTCATCAGGTCATTAAAGTCATGTTATTTTATTCAGGCCTCTGAAAAAAATTATCAAAAAGTACAAGAATATTCTTCTTACATAAAAGAACGAGATGTTTAAAAATGTCAGTTAAAAAAAAATAGGACATTAAATTTGACGGAAAATCGGCTGCTTATATCTATAAGCAAACTCTACGAGCTTTTTGTCATCGGTCGATAGGCGTCAAACGACAGAAAAAGAGAAAGAGAGAGAGAGAGAGAGAACGAGAGATGGTTTGACATGCGGCATAGGAAAAAAAACGAGTAGTAAGAGGTAGTAGAGTGCACAAAAGGGTGAGTGCGGATGGCGCGCGAGAGTGAGTGAGCGAGAGAGAGAGCAAGGGTCGAGTCAACGTAAGATAAATATTTGAGGCATCTGCTTGAAGAATCGGGAACACGACGTTTTCGTGTATTATGCCGCTCGCTGCAAACGAGAGTCGATAAACGGATTTAACTTGATTTGCATAGCTTTCGACGCTGCCGCGCGCGCCTCCCCCTTTTTTCTCGCCACTTTCCTTTTATTTGGAGCAAGCATTGCAGCAATTGTATTTGTACTTTTAACCTCTTTTTTTGGTTAAGAGTGATTCGCAAAATTAACGTTCTGACTATTGTTTATTACGGTTTATTTTGCACTTCCAGAGGTTGAATATGTGTCTATAACGTAAACAAAATATTTCATTTTTTTCATGACCTCGAAAATTCTGACGAAATAATACCAATAAAAGTACTTTTTTACGCACACCTAAGTGTATACTTGTAAAATATACATACGTGATCGCAATATCTACAAGGCATCGACAGGGTGTTGTGTACACGTGGAGCGCGCGCGCCTCCGACGCAGATCCCTTTAGACCTCGATATAACGACTGAATTTTAAAACCAGTCCCCGGGGACGCGTGTCTATCGCTCGTCGTTTCTTCAAAATCAGTCTGCACAACAGATCGTGGTTCTGTTCTCGAAGCTATACATGCACCTATAGTAGTGTAATAAAAGCTTAATAAATCCCACGAGGTGAAATTTTCGTTTGCGATCATTTTTCAAGAATCGAAACTGTTTAATGCTATTTTTAGATGTATCTCTTTTGCTTTCAAGCTTCACGTTCGATGCATAAGTAAAAAAAAAAAAAAAATACCAATTAAAATTTTGTTGGGCCTCCGAAAGATCACCTATATGCACCCATCACAGAGCTTGTAAAATAAAGCTCTTTTCTTTCGTGCTCGGAGTACTCACCACCGAAAACAAGCCCGAGTTACAAAAGTCGTCGTCGTCGGGTCTTCTCTTACAACCGACATCCAGGAAGCCATCAATTATTGTACTTGTTGCTCGACTCGTGTTCGAGGCGCCATCATCAACACGGCACCGAGCACAAAACCAAGCGAGTTAAATGGACGTGTACTAGTGTCGTATGTATGTGTGTTGTGTGTGTCTGCGAGCGCATCTCTCTCTCTCTCTACACACAGTCAAATATTGGGTTTGGAAAATCTTCAGCGGCTCGGAACGCGCGCTTAGTCAAGGCGAGGCATGCTCTTGACATGCCCGATGCGTGAGACAGACTGTAATCAATTTATTTTCCTCGAGAGTACAGTGTGTATAAGCGTTAATTATTGAAGTTAGATAAGCGGTCGGCGCGTCGCGCATGGTCGGCGTTAATTGTACTGCGAGTCCAAACTTAAATGCGAATCGTATAAATTTATATATCCGTTTGTTTATCATAATGAGTACCCCCAAAAATGTTTATTAATTAATAACACAGCTGCAATCGTAATTTAAAATTGAAATGATTATATTAAAATCTACTCTCCGCGAAAAAAAAACCCGTCTGGGAAATGACTTTTTTGTCTAACTCGTAAATAATCAACGATGATGAGATGTTATCATACGAAATTAGCTACTGCGTGACGTAATGACACCGTGCTATTGTCAAGAACTCGAATACAAGAAAACAATCAGTCGTTAAGAGTCGGTGCAGCATAGTGGTATGTCAATATGAGGAAATTTTACGAAACAGGTAGATTTTTTTCCAACAATGTGTTTCTTCTTAGGATTTACTTTGATTAATAAAAAATGAAAATATATATAATTTATAATTATTTTTTTTTTTCGTGGATCAGCACTGCTGGTATTCTGCGCGACAATAGTATTTGTTCTCGCTGCAGCCGACGATGATGATTTGGAAAAAAGATATATGGATTTCGAAGTCATTCCAGATGTAATTGATAAAACGCCTATGAGCTTATTGCAGGTAAAGTTTATATTTATGTATCATTGTGTTTTTTTTATGAGTATGATTGTAAAAATTTGATTTGAAAAGTTTGATCTAAAAGCAAATAATCGTGGGTGGTTTCATTTTTTTCAAGGTCACTTTCAACGATAAGGATGTTGGTTTCGCCGATGAACTAAAACCGAGAGAAGTCAAAGATGAACCACAAGTAGGATGGCAATTAGACAGTAACAAACTCTACACCTTATTATTGACAGGTAAATGTTATGAAAAATGTGAAATCTCATATGTAATAAAATATTTCTACATACAGTATATAATTTACAGATCCAGATGCTCCGAGTCGCGAGGACAAAAAATGGCGTGAGGTCCTTCACTGGGCCGTAGTGAATATTCCAGGAAACGATTTCAGCAAAGGTGAAACTTTGGCGGATTACATGAGCTCCGGACCACCCGAAGGTTCTGGATTGCATCGCTACGTTTTCGCGGTGTACGAGCAGCCGTCGAAATTGGACGTCGATGAAAAACACATCGACAAGACAAGAGTACCGGAGCGTTTGAGTTTCTCGTCGAAAAAGTTCACGGAAAAATATAACCTTGGGCTGATAGTGGCTGGAAACATGTATCAAGCTCAATTCGACGATTATGTACCCGAATTGTATGAGACCTTGAAATGGGAGTAAAATTGATTAAATCATGCCTTAGAAGATTCGATTTTAAAATTTGTCAAAAAAACTTTAGAACATATGTCAACAGCAGTATTAATGAATGCTTTCAAAAAGTAGTATTTGAAATTGTGATGTAAGAAGTTCTCGACTTTGCAAGTATGAAAATAACGATGATGACTAAATAATTGTATCTTCGTACACACCTCGATTGTTTATTCAACAATTTTAGAATAGAAGCCTAGCAAGAATCAGAGAGTTACATTATTTCATGCTCCAATCTCAAGTGCGCGGCAGAAAATGGTGAAAAAGAAACAATCCTGTTACTTCCGCAGGGAGAAACTCATAAGACCGCAAGAATTCGATTAGCATGATAATTACAGCTGAGTAGGCGTCGAGGGCACGCTTTGTTAATCAATTTTTTTCCATAGTCTTAGCGTACTAATCCATCTAGCGCTTCATTTTCAAGGATCAATCGGATTAAATGTATCTGTTATCACCAGTGTCGACTAAGACGCGTTCAGTCTTATAATTCCAAACTTTTAAGAAATTCATTTGCTGTTTTGATTATTATAACGATATGTAGAATTTTTATTTTATTTTGAGCTATTGAAAAAGTTCATCGATCGACCTTACATTTTAAGTATTCAATTTATTGAAGAGAAGAAGTTTAGATTTTTTTTTCCTACTAGCACAAAAATCACAAATAATTTTAGTTTGTTCTTAAAATACGGAAATATTTCTGAAAAAATTTAGCGACAAAGAAAGTATAGAAACACGATCCCGTGGGTACAGTTGACCAGAAATTTATACATGAAACCCCATAAAAAAGACTAATGTTTTTCGCGCGATTGTCTGAGCGTATATATAGCAGAAATCGCCGCACGTATGACACATACGAACGACATTAAAAGTTCTCCGTTTATACAAACATGGCTTTCGGTGTCATAAAAAAGAGTCAAGAAGAGGAAAAATCTCTAATGCTTCTATCCGAGTACGCTGATCCACCGATATTCGGCATATGGACAAGGAGCCCAGAATTTCTATATTATTATTTGAAAACGCAGGCAAAACACAAACTTGCGAGCGACTTTGGTGTTAAGAGAGATTTTATTTGTCACTGAAAATGAGGGTCATTGAGAAAATATTATACGAGGTCAATAATATAATTGGAAATTAATAATTTTGTTATAGCATATGGTGGCATATCCTCTTACACTGACTGTAAAAGTATAAAGAATTCTGCAAGAAACTATGGAATCCGGTATAAATTGAGAATTTAAGGCGAACAATAAAAAATTTTCCTTGACCCTATCCATTGTGAATCCTTGTTCAAGCAAACATCGCGTGACAGTTACTCATGTACGGAAGACAGATTCTCTTACTTACTTATGCCCTCTTGTTCGAGGCAGCAGAAGCAGCGAGTCGCAAGATATACATTTATACGCGTGTAGCGATATATAAGCATTCAGAAGAAGAAGCAAAAAAACATATGTGGATTTATGCATACGGGGTATCTACCCCGCGTGAATATTTGAACGGTTCTTCAGCGCCTGGCCAAACTCCCCGGTAGTCTCAGTAGCGGTGAATTATTCAGGCCAATCCCCGAGGGTAGAGAGAGAGCGAGAGAGCCGCAACGGAGCATGGTTATGCCCTCTTGTGCCCCGTCTTTGGCCGGCCGCTGCTTGTTATGTAGATATATGCACGTCGCGTAGAGCGAGGCCTGCATTCTCTGTTAAGGGGAAAAAATTGCGCGCATCCGAGGCATCAAATCAAGGAAAATACCGTGATTCGTTTAAATTTCAGTTTTTTTCATGTTGTTGTTTCTTATAAAAGTAATTGTTTAATTTCGTTTCAATTATTCAACGAATATCAAGGAATATTGCGAGGATTAGGTGAACATAATGAATGTAAAGAAAACATTTTCCCGGGCTTTCTTTATTGATCTTTACTTGCTTAGATAATGCATCAGTTACTAAAAGTCAACCCAAGTAAAAAGAAACTATTAGGAAAAAAATATGTACATTTGTTTTGGTAATGGTTAGAGTTAGAGTTCTTTGACATGGAACTCAAAGCGTTACTACAAAATTATACAATATAAATAACAATTATCTTTTCGAATGAGATAATGCACCTCAAAATGCTCAAAAATTGTCCAATTGCATATAAAACATTGGACTTTGTGAAATTTCAGCAAATATAATGATGAAACAAAACTACGTGGAAAACATAAGATATATTTTAGCATAGCGACTTTGCGACAAGATTGATTTCCAAAACTGTTGTTTCTTCTCAAATTTACAATCGATTTATAAATGATAAAATATTAATTATATGATAATTATATGATAATTTTAATTATATTTTGGATATCCTTTCCGAACGTGATGTACGAATTGTTGTCAGTATAAGGAATAAAATGATACAATTACTTGATTGTAATTTATGAATAAATTTTGACACCGCGAATATTAAATGAATTTTTTTGCGATCGTTTTGAACGTTTTCTACATTACCCTAATATTTATAGTTTTCTTAAGCAGCAATCGGTATCTCAGTCGATAATGAAGTATTTTACATTTTCTTCATTACGTATAGAGTATACCTTCATGTGGTCAACTACCATTCAATTTACCGACCACCAAATCTTACTGTTTTCAAGTAAATTTTGACCCCAGTTTTTTTACAACTAAATACTAATATCCACCACTTCGCTGTCACTTTTAGGCTCTATTGCAATAAAGCATAATTGTTAACCTGTGTTAATATGGTTTTTTAATAAAATTCAATAATAAATTAATGCTAAATGATTATTTATTATGTATTTTTTAATATTATTGTATAATACAAATGTATAATATAATACATCTTTGTTAAATTTATTGTATCGGCACTGCTTGAACTTCATTCCATAAACTGCCTAAAAGTGCTTGAAAATTTAATCATACTCATAGTCAGAATCTACTACTAGATGGCAAGTATCATTACTTGTAAATCTGCAAGTGACAAAGTAGAAATAAGCTTATATATAGTAGTAAATAGTATAACAAGTATATCGAATATTTTGGTCACACGTTGTCGCATTCTAACATTAGAAGTCGTTTAATTTTATGAAGATTATAAAGCGCTAATCCAGCTAATTAGAAGGGATAGCCGTTTCTAAGCCAGGCGATATTATTATGCCCCCACTACGCTTGATTTCCGATTTCTGCGTTACCTGCCATAGTCTCTCCTTCGGTTCTTTGCACTGACAGCGGATCGCGGTATACATTTCATACAGTCAGTACACATCGGGTAGCGTTGCGTAGGGTCCCAACATCTGTTGATCGACTGCTAGAGAAAGATCGCGCGGTATAGACTGCAGCCACGAGTAATTTTCGGTGGACTCCGAAAAATACATTGCATCATATAAGGGACTTTGTTTGTGTTCGAGTACGTCGAGTGACATACGGATCGACGATTTCACTCGTCTCTTCTGCTGGAATCGGGTAAACATCAAGCCTAGTGGTGAGCAAAATTATACCTATATAATACGCTTGACGCCGAGTGCTGACGACTCTGACAGTGCGCGGTGACACTCTGCGCATATAACAACATCGGAGCACGATTCGTCTCAGTCTTGACTAGACTATGATATTAATTAGACTATTTTTTTTAAATAATTACAAGGGTGCCATTGAAATCAAAGAATTAATATTGGCTGAATATTGGAGCAATAAAAGTTTGTTTCTATATCATGAATATACTTAATCCATTAGCGGCACGAGGACAGGGTTTAAAAACATCAACTTCGCCGTCGTTTTTTAACCAAAAAAAATAATGAATAAAGTATCGTGTTGCTCTTTCCGAAAGTTTGACTTATTTTTTACTGAAAAAAAATTTTTCGGACTTATTTTAGCGGAATAAAGTAAAAAATGATACATTTTCACGCGAACTTCATGACTTATTGCTCAATTTTCGAATTCACAACAAAAAAAATTTTCTCGATGGTTGCTATTTAGAAACAATTGCCTTAATTTATTACGGAATGTGATCACAAAATTATTATTTTTACAAAATGTTTGAATAATTAACTGAAACAAATTATAATGAAAAAATGAATTTCCTGAACATTCTAGTATATTTCGAATTTTCGAGAAAAGGTATATAGAAGACAACGACTTTGAAAAATCCACAATTTGCTTATTTTATTGTATAATTAAATTAAAAATTCTACAATCTAAAATCGGGTTATTTTAATCCTTATATGTTTTGCACACATGATCTTTGATTTTTTTTTGGAAACTGATAACAATTTTTTTTTGTTTTTCATGCAAATTTTGATTGTTAAAAAAAAATTTTTCAATAAATTAAAATTTAATAAATAACAATTTTCAAATAAATTAAAGTTCAATAATTGACCATTTTTTGTTGTTTTTTTTATGCAAAATTTGATTGTTAAAACAATTTTGTTTAATAAATTAAGTAAACAAAAGACTTGAATTATAACCATTAAATACAACGACAAAGTGGATACGGTTAAACTCTGTCCTCGCGACGTTGGTGGGTTAAGCATCAATTTTCAATCGTAAAATTTTAATTAATTATTAATATTTAATGTATAGACGATGACGCCTTATGCGATCCAATAATGTCGATCGAAGTTACCGACAGATCAAATCATCAACTTGACTTTCCGATTTTGCGCAGTCAATTTTCCATTTCGTTCGGAAACCATTTCCGCAAGTCTACTCGATTCTTTTTTGCAGAAATCAGCCATGCCTCGAAGGAAAAATCTCTACATGGATCCCTACCCATCCCTTTTAAGTTCAATGAAAGAAGCCGATTACGATGAAAGGTTGGAAATACTGAAGCGCTTCAGGCTCGATCACATCAAAGAGGATCGATGCGAAATCATCGCTCGATTCCCCGGCTTGTACAAGCAATTGCAGGGGCCGGTTCCGAAACTCCCGGCCATTTTCGATAACAGAGAGCTCGATCAGCTTCTGTTCGAAGCGACGGATACCTTTGCCGGCTATTCGGTCACTCATACGGCGCTGCAGTTCGTCTCGCTGGTGGTCCAGTCCGGCTACAGGTACGAGCCCGAGCACGACGACGAGGGCAGACCCCGCGCCGAGCACGCCACGCCGCTTCATCTGGTGGTCCTGCACTCTCCATCGCACTTCAAACCGGGCTGGTTCGAGTTGAGCGATGACCTCTTCCGGATCTACGAGAGACACGAGGTGAATTATCGGGACGAGCACGGACTGACGCTTCTGCACGTGGCCAGCCACTTCGGCTACGACCGCCGAGTGCGCAGGTACCTCGAGCTCGGGGCCGATCCCAATTGCCGCGAAGGCAAGACAGGCAACGCTCCCCTGCACGCGGCTCTGGCCAACGGCCTGAAGAGCACCGTGAAGCTGCTGCTTAATTACGGGGCCGATCCCAGCATGGCCAACGCCCAGGGCGCGACGCCGCTGCACGTGGCTCTGGCCAACAGCCAGAAGAGCAACGTGAAGCTGCTGCTGGAGAACGGGGCCGATCCCAGCATGGCCAACGCCGAGGGCGCGACGCCGCTGCACGTGCTGGGCTTAATACACAATCGCGCCAATCTGGCGGAGATGCTGAACAAGCTCGGCAAGCACGGCCCGGTGCACGTGGACGCCCAGGACAACGAGGGCAACAGCCCGTTGCACCTGGCCGTGGGCAGCGACAACCAAAACATGATGGTCTACCTGCTGAAGCGAGGCGCCAATCCGAATTTGGTTAACAATCGGCGACTGACTCCGCTGCACTTGGTTTGTCGAAGGCACAACGGCAGCACTCTCAAGTTGTTTTTCAAAACGATCGACGAGCTGCGGCAAGAGTCAGCACCGCAGAAGGGCAAACGTTCGGCTAGCAGGCGTCGTCGCGTCGACGTCGTCGTGTACCAGGAGATGAACGTCAACGTCCGAGACGAGTCGGGCCGGACACCGCTGCAGCTGGCCGTGGCCAATTGCAGGCCCCAAGCGGTCGATCTGCTGCTGGAGCACGGCGCCGACCTGGCCGATTTCGCGTTCCCAACCTCGGACTACTTCGGTGCGTCGTTCGAGCCAGACAGGACCCTGAGGATGGCCTCGGGCGCGCTGGCCTCCTGCGAGTGCCTCGAGAAGGCGGGCTACACGCTCACGCGCGACGACGCCGTGACCATCATGAAGTTCTTCGACGGGTGCGGCGGCATGTTCGCGAGTAAGGAGATCCTAGATCGTCGCTGGTACGATGACGACGCGCAGTTGCGGACCTGGGGGAAAAGCATCAAGCCCAAGTGGCTGCCGGACGAGATGACGCTCGAAGACCTGGTGATGCTGCCGTTCGAGCTGGCCGACCAGCGAATGGAGTACGACCACTATCACTCGCTGTCTCTAGAGGGCCTCTACTACTTCGTCGTCAGCAGGAGCTCGCCCTGCAACGAGTACCTGTGCGAGCAGCTGGCGCGAGGATTCTTCCGTCGCTGGGCGCTGCATCCCTTCATGGAGCTGATCCACGACAGGCTGCCGCAGCTCTGCTGCGAGATGATCCTCGAGCATCTGACCAATCGCGATCTGTGCAACGTGTGCTTGGCCGTGGCGGCCGAGAGCAGCCCCGTGACTCAGCCGCACGGCGAGCAGCGGGAGCCGCCACCACCACCGAGACAGGAGGAGGAGGCGCGCAGCAGCGAGCCACCATCACCACCGGCGAGGAAGAGAAGGAGTAAAAAATTGAAGACTTAGGAGAACGAAGCGAATCGTTCGTTTTTACAGTCGGTATACGGGATCGACAAAGACTTAACTTTTTATACGAACTGTATTGAGAAAAAAGAAAAGCGACTCTGTACTATATAGACCTGTATATAGAAACGCAACACTTGTGATATGTCGATAAAGCATACTTGCCGAATTTTCGTGTGTCCAATGTTTATGAATTGTACCAATTGTTCACGTCGTTCAAATAAATATATTATCAAAAAGAAAAAAATAGTTTTGATTTTTCTATTAATAATTTGAATCTTACCGATGATGTGATTTCGAATTGTGTATCTATGCTATGGAAGTTCATGGAGTAAGATGGATTCCGAGCATTTTCGTGAAAATCGGTGTCTTGGACCGACTCGACTTTATGGAGTAGTAAGAATATTTACATATTTCATGAATCAATGAGCATATATTGAATCAAACTGATCGTATAGGGTTTGATTATTCAGTACCAGGGAACTTTAAAAAAAAGTCCAAATCTGTGACCCAAAGGTCGTAAAACTTCGTTTTTGATTTAATTAAAAAGAATAGACTCTAAATCGATGCTATTAGATATGAAAAAAACATTCTTTCCGTCAAGGACACTATGAAATTAAGTAGGATCAAAACTCAATGATTAGCTGAAATTAAAAGTTCATTTTTGCACTAAATAATTCATGAGAAATTTTAATGCTAGATGAATTTTTCAAATTAGTTGTATTTTTTTGAGATAGAAAAAACATCCAGTTTTAAAATCGATTCTAGATGTTAAATGTTTCTATGAATACAAACTTGTAGACCATATTTACTATCGATCGGAAGATATCTGTGTTTTCGCTGGATACGTAAAATTCTTAGCTCGTTCCAAAAAACGATCTCTACCAAACATATGAACAAGCTCTTCAATTATTATGAATTTATAGTATGAATGACTCGGAAAAGGGAGCATAAATTTGAACTTAGATGAGTGCTACATAATTGAGTATATAAAATTGAGTATCCACCGATACTCGAGGGACACTTTCTAACGCGACTATTAGCTTAACTACGCCGTGCCGTAAAGTGTCACTTGTAGCCCTTCTATCGAAAAGTACCATTATTGCACACTAATATAAATGAATAACGAACTAGTGCTGTATAGCTCGTTCACTCAGTTTTTGATGATTTGTACGAAACCTCTGAAAAATAGGAGTATTATAAACAAAGTACAGTAAGAGTCTCTAAGTTAAAGTAGTTTTTTTTAAATATGTTCAAAGTTATCTTTAAAATATGATGAGTTCGACTAAATTTCATCATTCCATTCGTGCAGCTTCAATTGATTCAATTAAAGCATAATTCAATTTGAATGAAGTTAATCGATAACTTGATGTTAACTTTCAATCGATATATAATTTTAAATTAATCATTAATCATCATTCATTAATAATTTATTCATACAATCAGTTTATTTCGATGTTTTTTAATAGGTACATAGATTGACCCTTGTTATTGGATTTACAACTCAAACTATTTTTATATAAGAATATGTTTTCTGAAATGTATAAGAATAGAAGAATATGTTATTTGAAAATATCTTATAATGTTTACTCTTCTGTGTATGGAATCCAATGAAAATCAGATTTGTTTAAAAACGAATATTAGGCGGGTAATATTAAGCACAGAATAAATGTGGTGTTCCTGACGAGACAAATGTAAATTCTTGCCACATATATGTGCTGTAAGTGATAATATGATTATGCGCCAAATCAATATGCATTTTAAATTACCCTTTCAAGTGAAAGTGTTTTAAGGTTTTCGACCATTATTCGATGAATAGATATGGACCCTGAGATAATCTTTGCTTTTAAATGACTTTCCACAAATGTCACACGGGTAAACAATACGATTATCCACCATATTAATATGAGTTGTAAGATATCTATTTTGTTTAAATGTCTTTCCACAAATATCACAATTTTAAGAGATACAGTTATGCATTACATCTATATGTTTCTTAAGAGAAGCTTTGGTTTTAAATAACTTTCCAAAAGTGTGACATGGATAAGAGATACGATTATGCACTGAATCAATATGTGACTTAAGATAAACTTTGCTCTTAAATCTCTTTTCACAAATGTCACACGAGTAAGCAATACGATTATGCACCTTATCAATGTGGATTTTCAGAGCACCTTTTCGCGTAAATTACTTTCCGCATATATCGCAGCTATGAGATTTTTTACCATTATGCAATGAATCAATATGTACCTTGAGAGCACCTTTGTGTTTTAATGATTTTATGCAAATGTCACGTGAATAAGAAATAGAATTATTCGCTGAATCAATATCGGGGTGCATAGTTATCTTGTCGCAAAATGTCTTCAAACTTGCATCACACTCAGTAAATTGTTTTTCTTTATTTGCGTAAAGATAATTTTTCATATTCGTACCGACGAGTTTGCAGCCGATATTTGAATCTATATTTTTTTGAGTATCGTCAAAAAACTCTTGCTTTACGTTTTCAGTTTCTGTTTTAATTGGGAGATTAGTTGCAAAATTATCGCTAATTTTGACATCGTTATATTTATCAAACCTATGAGACCAATCATTCACTTTAACAGGTAACGATAAATTCATGTTTGGTTTCACATCTTTGCACTCAAATTCTATTTTGATAGGTTGAAATTCACTAATTCCTTCGTTCTTTTTAACGGGTGCTAATGAATTCACATTAGGTTTTACTTTAATTTCTTGGTTATGTTGAAAATGATTTATTCCTCTTTGTTCTTCAACCGTGCGCATCTGTAATAAAATTGAAGTTTATAATGAAAATATTGTTTAAAAAAAAATAATTCATTAGATAACAGATATCAATCAACTTACGGTATTCTCTTGTAGACATCTGAGATATTGCAAATTTCTAGTATCGGATGTTAGGTTATTTGTTTCACCATCATTATTTCCATTATTACACATATCATCCGGTTCTTCTTTTACTCTGAAAGTATCGATAAAATTAAAAAGATACACTTAGTCATATTGTTATTTTAATTTGCAAAAAGGCAATTACTTGATAGCAAAGTTGTTTAACGATGTGCCACCATCATTAAACACATCAGATTCAGGGCACAGAAAACTAAACCTATCATCTGTACTTGCTCCAGCAGAACACGAAGGTAAGTATGCAGGTAAGTATGAGTGTTGTTTTATTTTTATTTTTTTTCATGTTCAATGATGGTGGTACGTCATTGAACACGTTAGATTCCGGGTACAGAAAACTATCTAAAACTATCTTCTGCCAACTATGAATAAGGATTTAAGTGAGTTTACTATATTTCAACTAAACAAACCCCCCAAAAAACACCAATATTAAATAACGGCAACAATGGTTTGATGCAGATTAAGAAAGCATTTCACTATAGTAGCAGCTAGGATTTTCGTTCAAACGGTTTCATATTCAGTGGCTTACATTCTTTCGAACACTTACAACAGAATTTAGAGGTATTTTTGGCAAACCTATATGCTCTTCAAGCACACTGTGAGTATGAGAGCTATTACTAATTTTGAAGAAATGTAGAAAAAATTTGTTGGCTTAAATTAAAGTATTAAATAATTTCCAAGTTAATTTTTTCGCCAAAAACGCATTGCTATTACTGATTAATTGTCTCGAAACAGAAATAATCGTCTGTCTATATGCTCGTCGAAATCTTTGAATAGCGCAAGATCGATTAATTCACGATGGCGATAATATTACGTGAAGTTTATCAAAAATTTCATTCCACACAATATGCGATGATACTCTGGGAGTAATCGTTGGATGAAGAGCTGCAGTTAAACAAGTAGCCAAAATAAAACACCACTATGACACACCCAATCATACCTTGGCAAAATTTTTATTAACATTTTTGAAAACATCTGTATAATTATCGATCTAAATATTTACATTATGGTACCAGAGCGTTTATACTTTTTGTCCAAATCTCATCTTGCATTTCTTGCGTAGTATAGTCAAGCGTAGTCTTTACGACTTTCATGAATTCTTCTTTCGTGAAAGACAAGTGCGATTGTTGTCCAATTTTTTTTCGCACTTGTCGCATGTTTAATTTTTGCGGCCTTCGTGTACTACCTTTTGGTGTCTGAGTAATTCCGATTTTCGTCCGAATTTCTTCTCGCATTTTTCACATATGGCATCTTTGCGTCCTTCATGGACTGTCTTTTGGTGGAACAGTAGAGACTGTTTATATCCGAATTTCTTCTCGCATTTGTCACATGCAAAATCTCTACGACCTTCGTGGATTGACCTCTGGTGCTGAATCTTACGCCAATTGAATCCAAATGTCTTCTCACACTTGTCGCATGCATAATCTTTGCGACCTTCGTGTACTGTCTTCAGGTGGGTAAGCAAATGCGCCTTTAGTCTAAACTTCTTCTCGCACTTGTCACACACAAAATCTTTATGACCTTCGTGAATTACTTTTTTGTGCCTAGCCAAATCGTATGGAGCCCTAAATTTTTTCTCGCACTTGTCGCATGCATAATCTTTGCGACCTTCGTGTACTGTCTTCAGATGGGTAAGCAAATGCGACTTTAGTCCAAACTTCTTCTCGCACTTGTCACAAGCAAAATCTTTACGACCTTCGTGAACTATCCTTTGGTGCTTTAACAAATCTGATTTTTGTCCAAATTTCTTTTCACATTTGTCGCATGCGAAATCTTTGCGATGCTCATGGACTGTCGACATGTGCACGATCAAATGCGATTTTCTTCCGAATTTTTTCTCGCACTTTTCGCATACGTAATCTTTGCGACCCTCGTGTATTGTTTTTTGGTGCACAAGCGCCTCGGATTTTCGGGAAAATATCTTTTCGCAATTGTCACATGGGTAATCCTTAAGACCTTCATGTATTGCTTTTTGATGATCAAGTAAGGTATGTTTGTATCCAAATTTCTTCTCGCACTTATCACATGCGAAATCTTTGCGACCTTCGTGTACTGTCTTCAAGTGCAAGAACAAATTAGTTTTAAGTCCAAATTTCTTCTCACACTTTTCGCATTCATAATCTTTGCGACCCTCGTGTACTGTCCTTTGGTGTTTAAGCAAATTCGATTTATGTCCAAATTTCTGCTCACACTTGTTGCATGATAAATCTTTCCGGCCTTCGTGGACTGTTGCTATGTGAAGAAGCAAATGTTGTTTTTGTCCAAATTTCTTCTCGCATTTGTCACATGCGTAATCTTTCCGACCTTCGTGCACTGTCTTTTGGTGGGAGAATAAATGAGGTTTATGTCCAAATTTCTTACCGCACTTGTCGCATACGTAATCTTTGCGACCCTCATGTATTGTTTTTTGGTGCACAAGCGCATCGGATTTTCGGGAAAATATCTTTTCGCAATTGTCACATGGGTAATCCTTAAGACCTTCATGTATTGCTTTTTGATGAACAAGTAAGGTACGTTTGTATTTAAATTTCTTCTCGCACTTGTCACGCGGGTAATTGTTGCGATCTTCGTGTATTGTTCTTTGGTGATTGAGTAAACTCGGTTTTTGTGTAAATTTTTTCTCGCACTTGTCGCATGAGTAGTCTGTGCAACCTTCATGGGCTGTTCTTTGATGGGAAAGCAAAGACTGTTTATGTCCAAATTTTATCTCGCATTTGTCGCATGAATAATCTTTGCGGCCTTTGTGTACTATCCTTTGGTGCAAAAGCATATGCGATTTATTGTTAAATTTCTCTTCACACTTTTCGCATGCAAAATCGTTGGGACCCTTATGTACCGTCTTAATATGTATGAGCAAACTCTGTTTATTTCCAAATCTCTTGGCACACTTTTCACATAAGTAATCTTTGAAAACTTCGTGAAATATTTTGTTGTGCTTGAGTAGAGTTGATTTACTTTCAAATTTCCTCTCGCACTTGTTACATGAATTATCTTCGCGATCTTTGTGTACTAATTTTTGGTGCGTGAACAAACTTGATTTTTTCATGAATTTCTTCTCACACCTGTCGCATTTAAAATCTTTGCAGCATTTGTGTATCGATATTTGGTGCCTACTCAAATGACTTCGGAACTCGAATTTCTGTTCGCACTTGTCGCATGCAAAATATTTTTTTTCATTGTGAATTGTGTCTCGGTGTTTAATCATAATTGATTCTAACGTAAATGTCTCCTGACAAATATCACAAACGTATTGTTTGTTTTCTGAAACAACAATGTCATGTTCACTTAAATTATCTTTTGAAACGATTACTTCGGATTCGTTCTCAATTTTATCCATTACGATGCCGTAATTAAACGATAGATCCTTCTGTTTAGTACCAAGGAAATTGAACTAGTAAAATTTATCTTCCGGGATTATAGCTGGTTTCATCGAAATGGACAACATTCAAAATAATTTATTTTCACTACAAACACGATTAGTGTGTCGAAAGACTATTTCGAAACCGTTTACTAGCATATTGTTGACAATCAAATAGGTATATAAATTTATATACGGTGCTTATAATAGTTGAACCAGTTTATAATTCTAATTTGGCGACGATCTCTCTTGAGAATTTTTTGGCCTTCTTACTTAAAAGAAAACTTCCTGTGACCAAGAGTACGTTATGAAAAATTTTATTATTCGCTATGGCGTATTTGGTGCACTCCGTAACTGCTGATACGCCTTTTCAGAGATCCTTGAAATCCCTAAATAAACTGCAAATCTGGAACTCAATATAGAAATTGTAAAGATTTTTTGACAGTATTGGAAATCCTCTTAAAAGTAGGTTCTAAGGCCATTAGATTAAATTAAGCACTACTAGCTTCATTATTAGGTACCAAGAGACTCTACAAATATTTTTGGTAACGATCTACGATTCGGAGCTGGGAAGGTCTTCTCGTTAGTTTTAGAAGGCCAAGAAATTTATTTGAAAAAATCGTCCAAGTTTGAATTTTAAGTTTGTTCAAATATTATAAGAACAACGTATAAACAGATAAATCGGTAACTTAATTGTAAACAATACGATCATAACGATTTACACATCGTTCTTTGACACACTGATCATGTTTATAGTAAAAGCAAATTAGTTTGAACGCTGTTTTTCCGGACGAAGCAAGCCATAATACTTGAAGATATATTTTACTCATTTAAATTACATAGGACTAAATAGAAGGATCTATAAAAATGAGAAGCAATCCAAAGAAGTTGTCTTAAAAGATAACTCAAGTAAACAAGACATTGTTGTTTTAGAAAACAAACAATACGTTTGTGATATTGATCAGGAGGCATTTTCACTAGAATCAAATATGATAATATACCGAGATACAATTCACAATGAAAAAAAATATTTTGCATGCGACAAATGCGAGAAGAAATTTGAGTTCCGAAGTCATTTGAGTAGACACCAAATATCAGAACATAGAGACCGCAAAGATTTTGCGAACGACCAGTGCGAAAAAAAATTTGTGAAAAAATCAAGTTTGTTCACGCACCAAAAATTAGTACACAAAGATCGCGAAGATTACTCATGTAACCAATGCGAGAAAAAATTTGGAAATAAATCAACATTACGTAAGCATAACAAAATATTTCACGAAGTTTTCAAAGATTACTTATGTGAAAAGTGTGCCAAGAGATTTGGAAATAAACAGAGTTTGCTCATACATATTAAGACGGTACATAAGGGTCCCAACGATTTTGTATGCGAAAAGTGCGGGGATGAATTTAATAAAAAATCGCATTTGTTCTTTCACTTAAAGACAGTACACGAAGTCTTGCAATATTACTTATGTGACAATTGCGGGAAAAAATTCGACCGTAAAAGTTATTTACTCTTTCACATAAAAACAGTACACGAAGGTCGCAAAGATTATGCATGCGACAAGTGTGAGAAGAAATTTGGAAAAAGGTCAGTTTTGATCAGACACCAAAAAACCGTTCATGATGGTCAGAAAGATTTTGCATGTAACAAATGCGAGAAAAAATTTGGACATAAAAGTAATTTGCTCGTGCATTTAGCGACAGTCCATGAGCATCGAAAAAATTACACATGCGAAAATTGCGAGAAAAAATTTGGAATTAAATCAGATTTGTTAACGCACCAAAAGACAGTACACGAAGGTCGCAGGGATTTTGCATGTGATGAGTGCGAAAAGAAATTCGGAAAAAAGACGAACTTGTTTATGCACCAAAGAACAGTACACGAAGGTCGCAAAGATTATGCATGTGACAAGTGCGAGAAAAAATTTAGGGATCCGTACTATTTGGTTAGGCACAAAAAAATAATTCACGAAGGTCTTAGAGATTTCGTATGTGACAATTGCGAGCAGAAATTTGGACATAAATATCATTTGCTCCAGCACAAAAAAATAGTACACGAAGGTCGCAAGGATTACGCATGCGACAAGTGCGAAAAGAAATTTGGACAAAAAGTGCATTTGCTCACGCACCAAAAAATAGTACACGATGACCGCAAAGATTACGCATGTGATAAATGCGTGAAAAAATTTGGGACCAAAGGTAATTTGATAAATCATCATAAGGTCATCCACGAAGGTCGGAAAGATTACGTATGTGACAAGTGTGGGAAGAAGTTTACGCAAAAAGCGCATTTAATTTATCATCAAAAATCAATCCACGAAAATCGCAAAGATTTCGCGTGCGACAAGTGCGAGAAAAAATTTAGGCTCCGATCAAATTTCATCAGACACCGAATAACAGTACACAAAGCTTGACAAGATAACTAACACATTAACTATGGAAATGAATATGAAAAAAAAAGTTCATAAAATTCACAGAAACTACCTTTTGGAAAATTCTCGAAGATTACTCATGTGTTAAATACGATAAAAAATTTTTTTTTAAATCCAAATGTAATTTCCAACATTGTGAATAACTCAGGAGAGCAAATTTTTTGTACGTGAGCGTGTGAAAGAAAATAATAAACACGCTTGCACCGTCATTCTCGGTGCTTTATTTTTTAATCAAACGTTTGCTATTTGCTGCTCTACATGGACTTTTTGGCTACTTGGTTCTTTCAAGCTCTTCATGCAACGATCATCTCAGAGTTCTTTTTCACTTCTCGTTTAGAGCTGTGAATGCGAGCGTTTACTACTGTATTTTCGATAAATTTCACGTAATGATAAGCAATAGTGAAAGATTTGAATAAATTTCATGACGAAATGATCATATCTGCTGAAAGACACATAATCGATAACGAAAATATATTCGTACTCAACAACTAACGTGAAAACCATTTAATAATTTAATTTACACCAATAAATGTTTTCTATATTTTTATTATTATTAGTTTCTTAATTTGTACATCCTTTGATAATAAAGCTTTAATAATAATGTTCCGAATTATCAAAAATAAACCAGGTCAACAAAAAGTCTTTTTTCTAATCCCCTACTAATTTAATTACTCGAGAGCAACGAACACATCCAAAGAGTTAATCAAGATTATTTAATTTTCCCAACTTCCAATTTTCGTCGCATTTCTACGCGACAGCCAACCGAGACTCGCCTTCATACTGTACCGCGTTCGCAACTTTTAAATAATATACATAATATACATCCTGTTTATATATCGCAAAGGTATGATCATCGCTTGAAGAGTGGCCGGCAGGTGCTCGGGCAGCACGCGAAAGCCGCGCGCGCCAGGTATGATCGCAACGGCCTGCCTACCTACCTATATTCCTACCTACACACGTGCCTGCCTCGAGTATAAATAAGTAGCAGGTGGATTCCCGATATTTAGGATTTTTTTTTCCTCGCGAGTGTTGCGTATGTGTGTGTGTGTGTGCGTACGTACGTTACATGTAAAACGTTTTTTGTACGTCGAAGCGATCGCTTCTCGAAATTATTCGCGGCTCGACATTCTTTCTTCGTGTAGAAAGTGTCCGATGCATTTTTATGTACGCGAATTATCGTAGGCACTTACCTTTTTAAAAACCGAGTGTCAAACCCCTTTCTTACGAAATTGCAACAAACAATTTATCGTCGATGAAGTTTTTTGAGACAAGAATTAATGAAATTCTATTTGAACGCACTCGGTTATAATCATCGACTGAAATGTATACCTTAAGAAAATTACAACTGGGTAGCAGCACGTATGAGCCGTTTGCGATCGAAATACCTCGGGACACACGCGCGCGTTGGTCTACCGAAAGAATCGTCGCACAGGCGCATTCCTCACCCCATCTCCGTTCACTTTTCATTTTATAGTTTCGCATTCCAGAACGCTCTCCCCTGATTTTTCTCAAAATAAAGTATAAATGCCCTATAAAAAAAAAACCTTCGTACTCGCGCAGACGCTCACAGGTATACTACCTGAACTCACACACGTACACGCGCATTACGTCAGAAATGGATTTGGCGATTGAATCGAACTATATACACATAGACACACTAGAGTAACTGTGTAGGGACGGTTTTTGTGCGCGAGTATACGTGCCATTGTACGATACGTCATGTAGCCGTAACGATGCTTCAACAGTTTGGCTCGTACTTCTTTTACTGTTCAACGCGTATTCGACACAATTTTCGTACGAATGCATCTAATTTTTGTATGAAATTTGCGCTTCACCCCTCGAGGAGCGTTAAAAATTCACGAAACTACCGTTTTTGTTTTTAGCCCGCAAGAATTAATCGGGCTTTGGCTCCCTCGTATTATAGTCTGTATCGGTCGTACGTGTATTATATTAGGATGGATTAAAAAAAAAACAAAAAACTAAAAAACGAAAGATGCCCGCGCAAAAGACTACATACTCATGGCAGGACATTAAATTCACGCTGAGTGTGTAGAGCATCCGTTCTGGCCAAAACTGGTTCTCGACCTGGCAATTAATTGGATTTGACCCGTCGCAACGTATGTGTATAAGCGCACACAGACACACATGGCCCCGAGTAAGTATGTTTAAAAACACGAACGTAGAGAGATAGATAGTATAAAGACACGAAGCTATAAAGAAAATCTCAAATCTGAAGGAGCGATACGTAGCGCACGAGTGAAATATGCCTTTCGAAGGGAAAATTAATTTATTTGAAAGAGTATATAATTTTGATACGATTGCAAAATAACGATTAAACTGTACAACTCCAAAATCCATACAACATAACACTTTCACGAAAGTTGCAGCTTATTGTAACCGAATTCTCTCGAAGCTACCACCCTTGCTTTTGTCAAATCGTATCGGCATTGCTCACGCAGTACATATGCGAAAAACCCAGTTACAGATTGTAACCGCCAAAGAGAGGTCGACTTATGGATCGCAACAGGCCGCACACCTTATACGTGCTTGGCTCAATTCTCTCTTTCTCTCTCTCTCTCTGTACAACCCCTCGATTCTGCCGCGGGAAGCTATAGCCGCTGCCGCCGCCGCTGTCTTTTGGAGGAAGATTCATCGGTTACATTAGAGGCACCTCTTATAATTTATACGTACGCGTATGTGTGAGTATGTATACGAGTCGAGCGCGACTTGTAATGCGCGCGATACGAATATTAGGGACGCGTGCCAGTTGCCAGACACACACAGATACGAACACACACAGTACAGAGGCAGGAGTCGCGGAACAGCCACTCATCATCACGCATCTGCCACACACTCGATACATATATATATACACAAAATCGTGCAGTTGGCTCGAACTTGCTCCATATATATATACACAAATGCGTGTGTATGTGTATGTGTACTCGAACAAAAACGTTTCCGCAGGAAGCATCTCTTGGGCTGCGTACGTATATACTGCCTCTGTCTCGACCCTATTTGTGCATCGTTATATACATGTGCATTTTTCACGCGACTTACTTACTTCTTGCACGAAGTACGCGTGAGATATGTGTGCGCGTATAGAAATTTCGAGGGGCGCATTTTTCACGATTTATGCATAATTATATTACGAGAGCTCCGTGTGAAAATTACGAGAGAATATAGACACTTTATAAATAAACTTGGAGTGCGGGAACTGGTATGTACAACGAGAAAAAACAACTTCATAAATCGAACGAGCAATTTTAAATCGATACGATTTGATATTGTCTTCTTTCACGATCGAGTATAATTTAAATTTCCAGGTAAAATGTAGGTCAATAAACGATCGTTTAATGTTATTTATTGGAATAAATTATACCGGGGTTAGAGCGAACGAATTTTTAGTTATGATCTCGGAAGGCTGAAGCTTAATTCACAATATTCAAAAGTAATTGTTTTTACGCTGTTAAACAAGCACATCCAGAAATTTCGTAGACGGTTACATATCCTTTACAAATCGGGCCGGTAAAGCCTGTTGATTGTGTCTCTTCGGAGCGCAACAAGTTTCAAGTGTGCAGGTTCGTCGACGTCGTCGTCGTCGTCGTTGTTTGTGCGAAAACAGCCCTTATAGCAGCTCGAGCTCACGGGCTCGAAGCACTTATAAATTTTTTTCGCTGCACCTTCCGATATATATGCGTATACTCTGCTCTCCCTTAAAATACAGTACATTCGGAGCATTGCGTACTGTACGTCGAGCTGCCACCGCTGCCTCACTCGTTCTCTTCCGGCGCTCGAACGTTTCGGAGATACATACGTACGTACTATACATACGTACGCACATGCACACAGAAGAAAGAAAATACAGAGAAAGAGCGAGAAAGAAGAGAGAGAGAGAGAGAGGAAGGGGCCCCTTGCGAGCACACACGAGCATCGCATCAAGCGCAGCTGCTGCTGCTGCTACCGGCACAGCCTGGCCCCGCTCTTTTTCCCCTCGCGGCACAAGCGGCACAATAACAGCAGCAGCAGCCAAGAGAGAGAGAGAGAGACCGGCAACTGCCTCACGGCATTGAAAATTAGTCCCAGCGCAACTGTCGCGCACGCAACATGCCCGCGCCCAACGGCCTAAGAATTTGACGAAATTTTTCGTGTGTGTTTCAGCTTCTCTCTCACCTACTAGTGAAAGTTTCGATCAGTGAATAAAAAAATAAATAAATAAATAATTAGTTGAGAGTGTGTTTGTGCGAAGGAGGGTGCGATCGAGCCCTGTGCTAGTGCGCGCGCGCGTGTGCCTATCCGTTTGTTTGTTTACCGGTGAAAAAAAAGTGAGTGCAAGATGCATCAGAGAGGGCTGATATTCGCGTTGCTGCTCTGCGGCTTGGTCGGCTCGATCCACGCCGATCTCATGATGGATCTCTACGTCAAGCTCATGGACGACAGCATGTTCCCGACCGACGCGAAACCCGCGCCGCGATCCAGACGATTCTGGAACCTGGACGAGAGCCCGAGTTTTCACTTCGAGGGTCCCCTGGACGGCCCCTTGAGGATGAGATCCAAGAGGAGCGCCGTCGAGAGTCCCTTCTTTCGCGTGGCCAATCCGGTGAAACAGCATTTGGATGGAGGTACGGATAGCCGAGTTTTTTTTATTTGCTTATTTATCGAGCTGGAAAAAGTTTCGACGAACTTTGATTTACTCATCTATTTATTTTTTTTTACTTTTTGCAGTCAATCGACGGATAGTAGACATCTACAAGAAGCCAGACTGGATGGTCGAGATGGATCGGCAGTTTTACAACGAAAAGCCCCAACCGGTGCAGGTGATCGCTCAGCTGCTGGGCGAACGAGCCGAGTCGGAGATGGAGTCGAGGATCCTGCTCGATACCGAGAAAGAAAGAAATAAAGAGGACGATGCCACGAAGAACTTGAGCCTCGGCGAGAGGAGAAAAAGGTTTCGCATGGCGAGAAAGAAGTACGACGTGTACCAAGAGTCGGAAAAGAAGCACTTCCGTAAGTCGCGACCGAGGCGAGACGTCGAGTACTCGATCAAGCGAGAAAAGAAGATAGCCGCGCTCGAGGCTCGCCACGGCCAGAAGGAGACCGTCGAAGATGCCCACGGTAGTAGTAGCGACGGGCACAACGAGACCTACGCGCGCGAGCTCAAGAAGGGCCTCAGGGCGATGCCGAATATGCGGCCAAAACGTCAGGCTGAGACAAACAGCAGCAGCAGCAGCAGCAGCAGCGATGGTGGCGCGGAACACGAACAGAAGCACCATCACCACCACAACAATCACCAGCAGCACCGGCGAGTCTTCACGAGGCGCGAGAGGCTCGACGACAACGGCGACGTTATCCTCGAGTGGGACCCGATCGAGCCCGAGAACGTCACGTTCAGATTGACCGCCCGCACGCTGGGCTACGTCGGGCTGGGCTTCAACGACAAGAGCAACATGCTCGGCGCCGACATCGTCATCGCCTGGGTCGACGATCAGACCCATCAGGCCATGATTCTGGTAAGAGTTCCCGGCCAAAAATACTATAGGCTTTACGAGATCTAGTATATAGATTCTTCCCCCCCATCGCCTAAAAGTAGCGTAGTGCAAGTTGTTTTCTCTTTTTCTTGTTTTTTTTTCTCAGTTTTTCTTGTAATTGTATAAGCATCTCGATTGACCCCGCGTTGACTCTCGATTTTCATTTCAAAAATGAAGTTCGTAAGAGACGGCTGCTGCTCCTAATTGAGAGGTGAAGTGGCCGGAATTTTGTACGCGTGTATCAGCTGTCGCTCCAAAAATGATCCATTCAGTTGTATATATGTACATGTGTTATGTGATTGTACAGCGTATATGCCATCATTAAATATAACCATACGGACTTTCAAGTGTTTTTTTTTTCTTTTTTTTTGTGTGTTCATTGACTGTATATACGCATATATATTTGTAAATATTGCTGCGATCATAACAACTATGACAATTATTAAATCTAAACCAATTTCTAATCAACGTGTGCCTTCTCTTTCGTTCAACGCGAGGATGACTCGTATACGAAGATTAAAATCTTCCGATTGCCTTACATTAAACGCGCGAGGCGTAAAGATATTTTTTTTATTTATTTATTTTTTTCTTTCAAACTCGACAACCTTCGAAATTACAAACGAGGATATATTCGCGTTGACCGCAACAATATAATGGTATACGTATGTAAAAATAATTCCTTGCTCCGAGTCTATAAAGGAGCGCGTGAGAAAATGTAAAAAAAAATTATCGTTCATAGCCGTATGAATAAACGAATATTAAATGGATGCTCTTTCAAATTTCACGATCGTATAATATAAAGTAAACACACGCGCGTGTATTTAAATTACAATCGCGCCCGCACTTTCATAATCCTATAATACACGTCGCGTACATATCCGATCGAAGTAAAAGTGACACCGGTACCGGTGAATTGGTATACACGAGACTAATTAGAAAACACGTGTTGTACACGCGGTAATACAATTATATAGATCTCGATCGTGAAAATACCCGCGCTTCTATCGATGCGCTTACTTCGAATGAAAATTCAAACGAGAAAGAAACGTAATTTTTCCATTTTCTTCTCGGGCTCGTCTTCGTGCATGACCGAGTGAGATTCATTATAAATACTGACACGCGCGTGTGTGCGTATGTGCCCGCATCGATAAATTCGAACTCTATATATCATAGGATAGCATACACGAGTGATTTGCTTTGATGAATGAGCTAACGTTAATCCCGGCAGTCATTCATTAATACGACGTAGTGCGCGTGTGTGTGTGTGTGTATACGGAATGATCTGTTCTTGACGCGACCATTGCTATATACACACGCGTCGTTGCATGCGTTTTGATTTATTATAAGCAGCAGCAGCAGCAGCAACAGCAACAGCTGTTGCTCGAGCTTATCGATCGATCGATCGCTGCTTATAACGAGTAAAAATTATAGATAGATTTGTTTTTTCAACTTACGAGACGCGGCTGAGCCTATTTACAAAGAAGCTTTTTTCGAATCGTAACATTTGTTGATAAGTCTGTTGACTTTTGGCCCTACGACTCCTCCCCAAAATTATAACGGCGATTCTCAAACGCTCTATACTTTATGCCGTACAGGAGCAAGCACGATGTATATAAATTCAGCCCGACACGTCGATCCTCGCTTTTTGATGCACGCCGCGTTTATATGTGTGCGTTTCTGTCTATAAGCTTCTTCGTGTACACATAGTATATAATGTATATTTTGGGCCTGGCGTTGACCCTCTCTCTCTTAATCTCCCTTTAATTCTCTCGATTTCGCTGTTTTTTTTCTGTCTCTTTCTTTGACTTAAGTTTCAGTCGAACCGCGTGCCTATACGGTGCTTTATACACCCTTTTTTTCTCTCTCTCTCTTTCTCTCTCTCGTTCTGAGCGATCCGTATGTACCACGCTCGGTTGATCATCGTTTCCCGTCTATGCGTTTATGCGCCGCGCAGCTCGCTCAAGGGTGAACATTATTAAAGGAGGTATATCGATAAAGAGAGAAAGAAAAAGCGACAGAATTTTTTTTTTCAGAAACAACAGATCCCGACGTCGAGATTTTCGAAACTTCTTCCCAAGCGATCGTGCTTTATTTTCATCTCTATTTCAATTTCTTCTCGCGTGCACGAGTGTGTATGTGTAAAATCCATGTGTGAAGTGCATGTGCTCTGCACTCGAGTTTATTTATATCGCGCCGTATGGATATGGTTAATTGGCTTTTAACTTATGGGTATATTTTCATTGAAGCTAAAACATTTTTCTCGCGTGTGATTCAGAAACTAACAAATTTATAATGTGTATTACGTCCCTTTCTGTCGTATATCTCGATTCGTCGATAAGTGCTTCGAGTCGAATGTAATACGCCGTTTAAAGTGGCTGTTAATCAAATTTAAAATCGAGGAAATCGATATACTCCTCTTCCTTTAGTCTCATAATTTCATTTATTTTTATTATGTTTGAAGTAAAGTCATTGAATATCCGATGACGTCATTCAATCTTACAACTTTTCTATCATGCATGTATACTCAATCATATTTATTAATTTGAAATTATTCGATTTACCTTTTAAATTTTCAAATTGAAAAAAATAAATATTCTGTAAATTATGAGATTTTTCAACACAAAAAACGGTGCAGCCGATTCGACAAAATAAGTATGAAATCGTCCTCCCGATGCAAAACGAGCCTCTCCGCCCTAATTGATACCTTTTTTCGATAAAGCTGTGTGTGTGTGTGTGTGCAGTATAAACGTAACAGCTGAGCGAGAGAGAGAGAAGTAAAAAGTCATCACTCAGAGCCCCGAGAATTTCTTTCAAAGACCTCGTTACTCACGCGCGGCGCGGGTCAGCAGCAGCAGCCAGCAGCACGCGCTCGAGGCACGAAATAATGCGCCCGATTGAAGTCTTTTTGGTATTTTTCAAGCTGTTAATTTGGGTGACTTTACACTCCTCCGAGCCACGCTCTCTGCCCCGTTGTCATCCTTCTTTCTTTCTTCTCTGTTTTTTTGTCCTTTTTTTTTCAAGAAAACTGCTTTGGCTTATATTGTATAAGACGCTGGATACTTTTAAACTACGAGGCTATTTGAAGAATGAGAATTTTTTTTTTCTACGAAAAGGTGTAAATTTAAGCGAGCGAGTAAAATTGTCGAAATAGTTGCAAATTGCATGAATATTTAGCGCGATGTATACTTGAAGCAAAATGTATATTTTTATCGAAACGATATTAATTACTAAACAACCGAATGTCCAACTCTGAATTCGTCAATGCTTTCGTTAGTTATAGTCTGCGGTGAAAAATATATATGAGGTCTCGATTTTCCAACGATTTTTTCATGATGAAAAATGCATTAATTTCTCTGCGAGGCAGCGATTTTTACGTACTGAGTTTTTTAAGCTTGAAATTCAAAAATTCTGTTTCCTTCGTGTTTATTGTTATAATTTGAAAAAAACTATTATAGAAAACAATCGAGTACAGCTTGCACACCTCTATCAAGGAGTCAAACAATCTATAACAACATCGAGCGCTGCATCATTTTCGTTAAATATCGTCAAGACAATCGAACAAAACTTTGACGCCGATGTTCCACGAATGCATTCTTCGAAATCTGTCGTTCGATGCTGCTGTTTTTTTTTCGTCTCTTTTCGTCTCTTTCTCTCCCGTCTCTACTACCACATGCGTTTATGTGTATATATACAGCTACTCCTCGTATTCCCAAACTATAAAGACGATTTACGTCCTGCTGCTTCTGCTATATATACGCACGCTATGTCAGGTAGTATAAACACGTACGGCGGCGGTGGCAGCGGCAGCAGCACGCGACGATCCTTTTCGATCATCGTCGCGCGCACGGCCTCGTCTATCTATATTTTTAATTGGGATTTGCTGCAAGGCTCGCATCCTTCCCCCGAAAAAAAACATCCTCGAACATATACATAATTCTTAATTACCAGAGTATTTACGAATTTGGTATTGCGATCGTGATTCCGTTCTCGAGTTGAATTATGCAATTTTAAATTTTTGGAGTTTTTATTTTATACGATTCAATATAAACTATGAAGCGGCGATTATTTATATTCAGATGACGATTGATTTGTTGTTCCGGTTGTGTTGATTTTTTTTTCTCTAATATTATTCTCAATTTTTGATCGTCGCGTATATTTCTTAGAATTTACAGATTTAAAACCATCGATAAATACAAAATGTCGGGTTTTACTATAATTCAAAATCGTCTATTAAATAACAATTATATCCCGATTTCGATCCACCATATACACTCAGAATGATCAGCATAGCTTTATTTTCACTCATTCTTTCACGCCTCCGCCCTATAATTTATACACACCGAATTCGGTATTTTATAATACATCTAAATAAAGTTTCTTATAATCCTGAATTATGAGCCACGACCTTGCGATAGAGAGAGAGAAAGAGATGTGAATTGCTCCCGGTGTTGTATTGCGCCGCGCTACTGTTTTTATTATATATACGAATACATCACACCTCTTTCTAAAAAAAAAATAATAATAATAATAAAAACTTTCGTCTTATATACCCTAAAAACTTTTCGACGCGCATTTATCTTTATGCGCCTGAGTATTTCTCCAAAAAACTAGTCCTTCTCATAGGACAAGGTCTGGGCGCGCTGCGTCGGTCAACAATGAGCGCATCTCTTCCACGCGGTGTGTCGTAGCTCGTTTCTCTCTCTTTCTCTCCTCTCCCTCGCTTTAAAAAGAGAGAGAGAGAAAAAAAACCGCCTCTGTACCACACGACGCACGACGAGTGCGCTTGTGTATACGTATATGAGCAATTCTCCAAATGAAACGCATTTTTTGAGGTAGAATCGCGACAAATTTTTTTTTCAACCTACGCGGATACGGACCCTCGGGAAATGTTTTTGGGGGTCCTAGGAACATGTAACCACGTAGGAACCATTGAAATTTCAATAGTGCTTATTTTTATAGCTACTTTTGTGATTTAGAGGACGAAAAATCATGTTTTCTCGTCAATGCGGCTAATTACTCAATTTCTAAGTCGCTGAAAAAGTATCAAAACTCATCTAAAAAAAATAACTGGCTACTGTGTTCGATAGGAAATTTTCTCAGCTTTCCACTGGTGGTATCAGATATTCCGATAAGTCGCACATTCGCCGAGAAAATCGCCATCAAAAGTGCCAAGCTAAATATCTCGAAAAACTCGGTAAGGAAAAAGTGATCTTTGAGGTTTAATTTCGATTTTTCCTCGTGAAAATGAAATTTATCGAAAAATCTGACTACACCATAAGAAAGCTGAGGAAATTTCCTATCGAAAGCATATCTTTATTTATTTTTTCGGTGGAATTACGAGCTAGTTTTGATTGTAGCGAGCCGAAAACCTCGCGACCGCGCTGAATCAGCTCGGAAACAGAAAACAGCGAACAACGTGAAAGAAATTCCCATGTATAACATTGTAATTCCACCGAAAAAATAAATAAAGATATGCTTTCGATAGGAAATTTCTTTGGCTTTCTCATGGTGTAGTCAGATTTTTCGATAAATTTCATTTTCACAAGGAAAAATCAACAATTATCCAAAAAGTTCACTTTTTCCGTACTGAATTTTTCGACATATTTAGCCCTCAATGTGTGATGGTGATTTTCTCGGTGAATGTGCAATTTATCGGAAAATCTGATACCACCATTGGAAAGCTGAGAAAATTTCCTATCGAACACAGTAGTCAGTTATTTTTTTTAGATGAGTTTTGATACTTTTTCAGCGACTTAGAAATTGAGTAATTAGCCGTATTTACGAGAAAACATGATTTTTCGTCCTCTAAATCACAAAAGTAGCTATAAAAATAAGCACTATCGAAATTTCAATGGTTCCTACGTGGTTACAGGTTCCTAGGACCCCCAAAAACATTTCCCGGGGGTCTGTATCCACGTAGGTTGAAAAAAAAATTTGTCGCGATTCTACCTCAAAAAATGCGTTTCATTTGGAGAATTGCTCATATAGCGAGCACGGCTCGTTCTCACGTGTCCGCGCGCTCGAAATTCTATTTACCAATTCTGTATTTATATGTATCTGGCATTAGCATATTTAAATTCTCACACGACGAGCAGCTCTGCCCGTTTTTCGCGTACTAATAATCTTCGTCTCGGGGCTTCCGAGGTATATACACCATATAATGTATATATTCACGCACGCACCAAAAAATGCATTACGCAAGTACAAAAAAAAGAATCGAAGAAAAAAAAAGTGCGTTACAAGCCTACGGTCGAGTCCACGTACACACGCGTATGCACGCGAAGCATCCTCCAGCGAGCGTGTAAAAAAGGCCCTCCTGTGGAGTCCTGTGGGCCCAGCGCGCGAGCCACACATTTTTATATACGTTCGCGTACGCACGCATGCGAGAAAAAAAACACAAGCGCGGTCCCCCCCTTCGTTGTAAAAAATAAAAGGAGATTTTCGCGTTTCTGCGCGAACGCGTATTGTTACGTCAATTGTGTGCGTTTAGTTGTCGAAGATCCATGACTCGAATCTATACGTAACTGCTAATTAGCTATGCGTAAAGAATACGTATGGACGTCTTTTCAAAAACACGTTTTTTCCTGAGATTATCTCAATTTTTTATATTGATATTTGGAGACTCTAATCGTTATCAAATAACAGTCAAGCGACAAAATTAAATTTTCAATAAAAGTATAATATTGTTGATAAATGTACCTTAAAATTACTTTCAATATTGATACAAAGAAAACGAGCAGCTATTACTTTGAAAGCATCTAAACTACGGAACACTCCGAGTGATTGTGCACTTACATCGATCATTTCCACGAAATTGCTCTCGAGAAGCCTTTATTTTGACAATCGAGTTCTCGTTTGAAAAAAATAACTCTCGCGTGTGCTTTTGACCCAGTTCATCGTGGCATGATGATTCTCGTGTACGATACAATGACCAGCGCGAAATACGAACACAATACGAATCGATACGAGCGACGCGCAGCGTGAGCGAATGAGAATCTTATAATCTGATCGAACTGATCATTCAATCGATTCATTTAGTTGATAATTTAAATTATTAGATTTATTTTGGCATTAGAGTAATTGAAGAAAGAAACGTTTAAATTATGATAATGATTTGTGGTAAATTGTTTCCTTCTCCTAAGTTTAGAAATTATTTTTACCAAGAATTGATAATTCAATACATCAGTTAGGATTTCGTTCGAAATTAAGTTTCAAACTTAATTTACACCTCTTGAAGCACTTCATTAACCTGCGAGTAATGCTTCAAATTTTTCCCGATAATTTGAAGTTATTTTGTTCAGAGCATTAATTTCTCGTTTATTTGCTACATGTATTTACTTGCATACTTCTCACATAAATCACAGTGGTGATCCTTAGAATTTCAGATATAATATCTCTATATGTTAACACAATGAAGTATTTCAATTTGAAATAATCAAAACAAACTTGCGTAACGACGTTTCGAATTTTTGAGCAGTGAGTGTACAATGTCTGTCGCGAATTTACAACTGACCGCTGCAACGTTCCGTGTTAGAAGTGCTCAAAATTTTAAATCAAATGAGAACCTCACGCACGTGAAAAAAGTTTTTCAGCTTTGACTTATAATTGTCCAATTTTACTTTTCCGCTGGTGGATTTAAAGATGAAGGTACTCGCCATCTAGTGGTGGAGACTGAAAGTAGTATTATCGTTTTTAACGCGATCCAAAACTGGTCTGAATTTTTTGAAACGATTAAACTATTGAATGCGCTAGATATTCATTACACCACTGAGATAGAAAATTATACAAAAACACGTCAATTAATATTAATTTGTATTAAAACATATTACATGGTTATTATTTGGTCATTAAGAAATTATTAACGTTTAGCATTTCTATCACAGTATAACTCAAAATATTACTGAATGCAATATAAGAATATATTACTTCATTGCGCAATACCTCAAAACTATCAGTATTTATTTTTCATTAGATTTAAAGTGCCTATTAAATCGTCATCGAATCCGAGCATCGGCGCGTTTTATCGCGTCGTAAACCATGTACGATCATAACGAAAGAAAAAATAAAATGCAACAGTGAGTTATTTAATCGATCTCCTCTGTGTCATTGCAGGATTCTCACGGTTCCTTGGACGACAACCGTGCCCCGGAGACCGACGCTTCTCAGGACGTCTATCTGCTGCACGGCTGGCAAAACGACACGCACACCAGCGTGACTTTCACGAGGCCCTGGCACCTGTGCGATCCGGACAATAAAATACTCACGGTAGGTGGACGTCAAGTTTTTTTTTCTTGTTTATTTTTTTATCCATATTTCGTCGAGCTTATTCAAAGATCTCTTAATGAACGATGATATAATTGACTCGCGCAGGCCGATACGATTCGAGTCCTGTGGGCCCTGCATCCAACCGATCCGGAACTGAATCAGCCGGCCTTCCACGGCGACAGACGCGGCAGTCGGGCTTTGAGGCTCAAGGCGTCGGCGCCTCACGGACCTCCCACGGAGAGCATTCCCGACCTCATCAAGTGGGATGTCAAGCTCAATCAGGTACATTGGAATTGATACATCTGCATAATTTTTAAAAGTATTTGCCTCTATATAACGATTAAATAATTTTATTATTTTGTAGTTCACCGTGTCGAATCACTCGGACACCGTTTACTGGTGTAAAATTTTCAAAGCGCCGAAGCTTCACCGAAAACACCATATGATTGGGGTAAGTTGATCTCTCTTCATATACTCGATAAGTACACTGTAAAAATTATTCGTAATGAACGTTTATACAAGAATATTCGAGTAGACATGCCTCTATGATCTTTAAAATTAAAAAAGTTACCGTTAAAAATCAGTGATTTTTGTGTGAAAAATAAAGTAAGTGATAAGCTAACTAAGGAGTAATATGTGAATTTTGAACTACAGCTTTGAACACAGTTTTCATTATATTAAATTAAATGACTTGCATTATAAAATACAAAATTTTCGTTAATTGGTAACTAAGGCAAGAGGGTCGAGAATTTCGCTTATGTTGACTCTTTTTAGCAAGTACATGGTATTTTATAAGTTACCACTAGAGGGCGTATGGCCGAATTCTTGAAAACCAAAAGAGAAACGATAAAGTTTAGGATTAAATAAGATCGGTTGTTGGTCAACATTATTGCCATCTGATAGACGGTCCCAGTATATTAGGCCGCGAAAAACAGAAAAAAATTTCATTCATTGCGGACAATTTTTACAGTGTACAATTATTAATAAGCCAAAGAAAAAAACACAAACCTTCTTTTCTCTCGTCCCACGCGCAGTTCACGCCGCTGGTGCAAAAGTCGAACGAGAAGTACGTGCACCACGTGCTGCTGTACGAGTGCAGCTCGCAGAACTCGATCCTGGCGGAGCACGCGCGAATCGCCGGCGCCCACTGCTACAGCCCGACGATGCCCAAGGAGTGGGACACCTGTCTGCAGCCGGTGCTCACCTGGATCAGGGGCAGCCAGGGCGAGTGGCTGCCGCGTCACGTGGGTCTGCCCATAGCCGAGCACCTCGAGAACTCGTACTACATGCTCGAGGTGCACTACAGCAATCGCGACGGTCGGCGCGTGGTCGACAGCAGCGGAGTGCGCCTCTACCTGACGCCCGATCTGCGCCCCATGGAGGCGGGCATCCTCGTGGCGGGCGTCGCCGTGTCGCCCATGCACATGGTGCCGCCCCAGCAGAGGGAGTACGCCACGGCGGGCTACTGCACGCCCCAGTGCACCGAGAAGATGTTCGACGAGGCCGGCATCAACGTCGTCTCGGTGGTGCTGCACTCGCATCACGCCGGCAAGCGCATGAGTCTGCGCCACGTCAGGCGGGGCCGCGAGCTCGAGCCCATCGTCCAGGATCGCAGCTTCGACTTCGAGTACCAGCAGACCTACACGCTGGCGCGCGAGGCCAAGATCCTGCCCGGCGACGAGCTCGTCGCCGAGTGCGTCTACGACACCCGGGGCCGCGCCCGGCCCACCTTCGGCGGCTACGCGGCCACCCAGGAGATGTGTCTGGCCTTCGTCATGCACTATCCGCGCACTCCCCTCGCCGCCTGCTACAGCATGACCCCGGTCAAGGAGTTCTTCAACGCGCTGAACGTGCAGAGCTTCAGGGGCGTCACGATGGAGCAGGTGGAGAGGCTGTTCGTGGCCACGACGGCCGACACCGTGGCCCTGCCCAAGTCGCCGAATCATCACTCGCCGTCGGCCTTCCCCGGAGAGCTGGAGAACGACGCGGCGGCGGGCCGCGAGGCGGACAGCGGCGACGACGACCTACTCGTCAAGCAGACCAAGTCGGCGATACTGAGCAAGGGCGATTACGTCGATTACGACGACATATTTTCCAGGCTCGTCATCGAGAAGCCGGACGAGTTCAAAGGTACGTGTGATCTCGTAATATATGTTATGTCGATTGATAATTTTTATACTTACCTCTCCGTTGCAGATCACACTTTGTCGGATCACATGCAGGCCCTCGCTTGGAACGATACGTCCCTGTCCAAGTCCATCGAGAGGAGCTTGTACCACGGCAGGCACGTGACGTTCTGCAGGACCAGAAACGACAAGTATCCATTGGTACGTTGTTTTGACTCGATTATAAAAAAAAAAAAAAACAGGATATCATTGCCTAACTAAAATTTTGCGTCTTTTCAATTTTGCAGGCTGCGTCGATACAGATGTTCCCCAATTTCACGGTGTTACCGCCGGTCAACGAGACGATCTGCGCCGAACGGCTCTCGGCTCGCGGACTGGCCACCAATTCTCTCGCGACGTCGTACGCAACGATCTTCGCAGCATTTTTCGTCCTGTGCCTCGATTCTTTGAGGCACTTCTGAGTTCGAATCTCAAGATTGTGAATATTATATAGAGCTCGTTTTGCTTTGTTTTTTTTTTCCCGTACGAACGAGTCAATTTGCCATCGATGTATTTCGTACATCATTATAAAAAACTCTCATCGACGGACTATTTACTTAAGATGAGAGACCCGAGCGTGTGTGTGTGTGTGTGAATATAATGAATCGTAGAATTGTAAATGTACCGTCCCGTGTAAATGTATTGTTTGAAAAATCGTGCGAAGCTCGATCGACATGGTCCAATCGATCGCCCATTATTTCTCGATGTAATCGCTAGGGCTTTACTGTGTTTTTTTTTATTCATATTATATAAAATATATATCATAGTTTATTAATGACATTGATAAATGCTCTGCTGGACGAGCAAAATTTTGTAAATATAATTTTTAAGTTTTTTTTTTGTGCGAATAATTGAAGACTTTTTGTACTTTCGATTAAAAATTGAGAGCAGAAATGATTTGTAGATATATGTGTGTAAAAATATATTTTTAAGTTAAAATAGATTGGATCTATCTTGATTTTCATTTAATTGTATTCCATCCATTCGTATCGACATTATAATACAATATTCTAGTGACGGCTTATGTACACCTTAAACTTAAAATTTTTTTTATTGAATTTTTGAGTAGGATTTTTCCTCTACTTTCCATTGCATTTTTCGAAATTCTAAAATTTTGGTTTTACTCTGAGACACAGCTGTTTCCGTGAGTTTTTTTCGTATACTTTACGAGTTAAAATTTTTCTTCTTTTGCATTTTCTGGCTAGTAGCGTTTTTGGTCACCTGACGTAATATTCGGAGGGAACCGATTGAGCTTTCTTCAGGACATCAATGGTTACGGCCACTACCACGGGTGAGACGATTGAGCTCGTAGATCATTCTGAAATGTACTTTTATGGCTCAAATTTCGGCAAAAACGAAAAATGAAAAAAAATGTGTGTTTAACTGTTCATGAATGGCAATCTGCGTGTTCGGTCATCTCAGCCGCAGTAGTGGCCGTGAACATTGATGTTCTGAAGAAGTGTAAGCGACCCTGGTGCAAAAAACTCAATCGATATACCCTCTGAAAGTTACGATAGATGACCAAAAACACTACTCGCCAGAAAACGAAAAAGAAGAAAAAATTTAACACGTGTAGTACAGGAAAAAGGTTCACGGAAATATTTTCATCTCAGTACAGAATCAACATTTTGGAGTTTTGAATAATGCAATGGAAAGAAGAGGAAAAATTCTACTGAAAATTTCAATAAAAAAAATTTTAAGTTTAAGGTGTGTATAAACCCTTAAACGGAGTTTTCTTTTTCAAAAACAAACCTAAAATTCAGTAATTTGTAATGGAATTTTTGCTCAACGCGTGCCAGCCATAGGTTTTTTCGGTCGATTCATCGGAATATGCTTTGATGAACTTTTCATGCAACTCTGCAAAACCGTTTCTCTCTCGACATTGACAATTAAAATCAATCCAATTTCAGAGATATCATAGTTCACGAAGTTCAAAAAACTGCAACGATCCGGCACTACGCAGCGCGCACACGTTTACTGGAAAAATGAGACGTAAGCCGAGATCGAATTGGCGGGGGTACACATTTATAGTCGGTATATGGCCAAGCAAAATAACGCTTATGTCTATATTAAGCACGAACACGCCTGCTTGTATACGTCGCGACGCTGTAGTGCGAGCAGCTAAAGAAAGATTGTATATCGATCGTAGCTAGTGATTTTCGTGAAAATATTACAATAAATATCTCAAATAATAATAAACGATCATGCCGTTGTGCGAGAAGTGCGGAGCAGTGACGAACGCGAACGACAATGTCCAGGGTGGAGGCAAAGCCGGAGTCGATGTAGTCGCTGACAAGGATTTCGAACGCGTGAATGCGATGAACAAACAATTCGTATACATAATGAGGGAGTGTTATTATCGGAAAGTCGATTGGGCTGACAAAGGCCAGCGAGTTAAATTCCTCCGTGAATTGTACAGCTACATCCACGTCTGGGTGGGTTTACGTCCGAATCTCCGAGAGGTTTTTATTACCGAAGATATCGACCTTCTGCTGAACGATTGCATCGATGGCATCAGCGAGGGCCAGAGTCATAATCACGATTACGAATGCGAAATGGCTTTCGTCGAGTTCGTGGCTCGCAGCGGCTACAAAGACGACGAGACCTACGCCGATGAAGAAAGAATGTCATTGGCTCGACGCGCTAAACCGATACATCGCGTGGCTAAAATCCCACTCGACTCCAGAGTCGTCGAGAGTCTGCTGAAAATTTACGACTGGTTCGACGTGAATTACACCGAAGTGGACGGATTAGAAATAGGGAAACTTGAGCTTTAATACATGTGTTGGAATAAGAACAGTTATAATTTTGTTTCGTTCGTAATGCGCTTCAGCGGTTCTCAGACTTTTTTGTTCGACCATTAGTCTTAGAAATAAATAAATAAAAAAAAATAAATTGCTTTGCTTGGATTTTTATTTTTTGTGTTTCAATTTTCAAATCTTACAATAATTTTAATACAGCTGCCCATTGTGTGACATACCCATGCTTTACAGAAATAAAAAGAGAGGCATGCGAGTCCTAATATTCATTATTTATTTATCTGCTAAGATACCTTAGCTATCATTTGATACGCGACATGCATTGTATTCAAAAAGATGTATTTTCACTTCTTGCAGATCTTTTTTTATCGACGATTGCAATTGTTCAATCTTCTGCGCGTACTGGAGAAATGTTCATTTCATCCAATTATCTCGAGACAACTTTCATGTACCTAAGTTTTGCTCCAATTATGTATCTTTATTATGTGAAATTTTAAGTTATCTTTAAACCCAAATGATTTGTGACAAATCTCACATTCAAAGGGTTTACTACGATCGTGTATTAATTTCACGTGATTTTGGAGAGTACGTTTTCGCCCAAATGATTTGCGGCATAACTCACATTCGAAAGATTTGCTACGGTCATGTACTGCATTTATATGATTTTTGAGGTGATGTTTGTGTCCATATGATTTGTGACAAATTTCACACTCAAAGGGTTTGATACGATTGTGTACTGATCTTATGTGAGAATTGAGGTGACCTTTTTGTCCAAATGATTTGTGACAAATGTCACATTCAAAGGGTTTGATACAATTATGTACTGTATTTATGTGTTTGTTGAGATTACTTTTGTGTCCAAATGATTTGTGACAAATGTCACATTCGAAAGGTTTGCTTCGATTATGTACTGTTTGTAAGTGAGAATTCAGGTGTTGTTTTAGTCCAAATGATTTGTGACAAATCTCACATTCGAAAGGTTTGCTACGATCATGCACTATATTCACGTGCTTGTTTAGATCATATTTTCGTCCAAATGACTTATGACAAATGTCACATTCAAAGGGTTTTTTACGAATATGTACTTCATCAACATGTTTATTCAGGTTACCTTTTACTCCGAATGATTTGTGACAAATCTCACACTGAAATGACTTGCTCCGTATTGTCATTATGTGTCTTTCAAGTTCATTCTGAAATTGAAATGATTCGTTGTAAATTTTACAAAATTGACTCAAAATAATTTTCGAACAATTTTTACCTTCTCGAATTCGTTAAGTTTCAACTGGAGCTTTTCTTTAAATTTACTGGTATTATCGTTATCAAATCCTTTTCTTATTGAAATTAGTTTTTTTTCATTCAAGTAGCTGGTCTGAATTTGATTTTCTATTTTCACATTAGGTAGAACATTTTGGTGCTCAGTTTTGCAGATCTTTGTAGATAAAGACTCCGGTTCAGGTTTGATATGTTTGAATTCCAAATCTACGAATATTTTTTCACCCAACTTTTCTTGAAACACCATAGACTCATTCATGTGATTTGCCTAAAATTAGAATTATGCAATAGTTTCTGATAGGGAAGCAATATAAAATAATTCAAATCATCGGACTTACCGGTGATTCGTAAAACGGCAATGCTTCAAAGTTTTTGACATCACAATAGTCCACCGAATCAAAATTATAATCGTCGCCTGCATCTGGACAAATATCGTTCGGTTCTTCTTTTACTCTGAAGAGTAATTACGTGCGTTGAAAAGAGAGCTTCAAAAAATATCAAAAAATGCAACATATAAGTTATACCTCACTGTGTCTCCGCTGCCTTCCATCACTAGACTGATTATAATTTGTATTTTCTTTTTGAATTTTACAAAACAAGCACTGCGAAAATATTCGAGGTTATAGGTAAGCTTCGAGTGGACAACGCTGTACCTCAATTCTTAAACACTTGCTTACTTGCAAGAATTTAGTTCTCTGCTATCTACTAAATCCACGACTCATATTTTTGGTGTTGCTCTAATGACACGTGATGCTGCCCTCTATGCATTGCTAAACATAACTGCGTGTAGAAAGTCGAAGGTAGATGGAGGAATGTTTTGCCAAGGAGCTATCACACTGAGTTATCTTGCTATTGTACGTATTACGAGTAGTGCGCTCAATCGCTGGTGAAGAGCTAATAATTCCTTTTATAAAGTTTACAAATAAAATCAGTAAAAAAGTATAGTTTTCTAATCTAAAATCAAGGTATAACAGTGTAGGCTACTCGAGGCATATTACGTTAACTATTTTATCACTGCCAATCGTGAAACAATCAAGAGAGTGATGGAAAGAAGGGTGGGCAGGGTTAGGTACAAAAATTTTTCGTACCGCCATGATAATTTTCATTTAAGTTGATTATTCTTCTAGGATAAAAGAAGAGCCAGGTGATACTTGGGCGGACGCATCTGATGATGAAGTTTTTGTTCCGATAGAATATTGTGCAGCTGAAAAATGTGAAATGTTGCCCTTAAGGAGGTTCGGGAGTCTCAGCGAAATGCAGCCAAATTTTTAAAACACGTTTAATTGCTTTGAAACTTTATAATATGAATGTTAATATCAAAATACAACTTTTCACCGCAAAATTTTGTTAAAATGATGAAAAAATTTTTTGACCATTTAACATGGTTTCTTACGAGAAATCATGAATTTTCGCTTTCAATGAGCATAAACATAATGTAAAAAAACAAAAACTAAATAGAAAAAAATACGTACATGTAGGAAATTTAATAAGGAATAATTTGACTGCAAAAAGAAGTTCATCGACCGTTTAGTTATCGAGAAATATATTGTTATGTGTAAAAATTCGTGGGTCATTTGTGCGTACCCTAACCAACAAATGAGCTAGAACAACAAAAATATGTGCTCATTCGACTCTAATGACAAATAGAGTATTGTTTTAAGCCTAAAACATCGAAAAAAACTCATCAAAATGATTGAATTATTAATAATAGCTATAATTGTGTGCCAGCTCATTGAAAAAACCTACAATTTCGTGTTATTTCGAAGTTGGCAGCGCTGAAAATTTAACATTGGAAGTATAGGAGCCCCTCGCGTCCCGCTTCGTCCCCCTCTGAGACTCCCGAACCTCCTTAAATGGGGTATCGGTGAGTTCAATGATTTGAGTTAAGTTCAAAAGTTCAACTACCAAAAACTTACACAATATTCGTTTCAGGCAAATGATGCTAATAAGGCCGTGGCATTGCACGGCAGTTTTGATGAAAAAATATTCATCGATTTTGAGTGCAAAGGTTTTAAAACTGAACAAACTTCTTTATCGACAATCAACTGTAAATCTGAGTATCCAAATAATCAACCTATTGTAAAAATAGAAAACGATTTTCAGACAAATTACTCATACGATGAAGATAGAAAACACTTTGAATCTGACTTTTTTCACAAATCATTTAGAGAAAAAAGTCACTCTAAAACTCACATAATTACAGAACATGATCGTAGCAAACGGTTTAAGTGTGACACTTGTCAAAAATCCTTTGACAAAGGAGCAGCCTCAATAGACACATTAATAAAGTACACAATAAAATCAAACCCTTCGAATGTGATATTTGCCATAAGTCATTCAGCCGTAAATATTACCTAAAAAATCACATAAATATAGTACATATTCGAAACAAACCCTTCGAATGTATGATTTGTCACAAATCATTTGGAGAAAAGTGTATAACCTCAACATTCACGTAAATACAGTACACAATCGTAGCAAACCCTTTGAATGTGAGTTATGCCGCAAATCATTTGGACAAAAACGTACTCTCCAAAATCACGTGAAATTAATACACGATCGTAGTAAACCCTTTGAATGTGAGATTTGTCACAAATCATTTGGGTTTAAACATAACTTAAAATTTCACATAATAAAGATACATAATCAGAGCAAAACTTAGATACATGAAAGTTGTCTCGAGATAATTGGATGAAATGAACATTTCTCCAGTACGCGCAGAAGATTGAAGAATTGCAATCGTCGATAAAAAAAGATCTGCAAGAAGTGAAAATTCATCTTTTTGAATACAATGCATGTCGCGTATCAAATGATAGCTAAGGTATCTTAGCAGATAAATATATAATGAATATTAGGACTCGCATGCCTCTCTTTTTATTTCTGTAAAGCATGGGTATGTCACACAATGGGCAGCTGTATTAATATTATTGTAAGATTTGAAAATTGAAACACAAAAAATAAAAATCCAAGCAAAGCAATTTATTTATTTTTTATTTATTTATTTCTAAGACTAATGGTTGAACAAAAAAGTCTGAGAACCGCTGGGGATACTTTGGGTATGCTCTTTCAGAATCCGGTGTTATTTTTGCGATAGATAAAAATTATCATCGTTTATTTTGCAATTAAAAATAAAAAAACGTGATTTTTTAACTTGAAATTTTTTTTCAAAGTCGATTTTCTAACTTGTCCTGCCTTCGGAGGGTTCCCATAACACAAGCAATCGTTTCTCTGAACTTTCAAAATACGCGCTGCCGTAATTTTTATCCAACCCTCTACATTTCTAAAATGGCAAATTTATACCGAGTAGCGATAAAAAAATTCCCTCATTTTTTACTCGGAAACTATTTCACATGCGCTAAATATCAACTAAAAAGTACGATGTAGAGTGTAAAAATTTATTTGAAATCGTTGAGAGAATATGTGTGAATTTTTTCAGAATTTTTCGGACCACTTTGAAAATTTTGCAAAATATGACCATTTCCTAGCCTGTCGAAAAAATCCAAAATGTTCCAAAAAAATTCTGAAAAAATTCACATGTATTCTTTGAACAAATTTGAACACTTTTTATTCTATAACTTTTTTTTATATAGTCAATCATTTCCGAATAAAAAATTAAGGAATTTTTATTTCGCTGCTCGGTATAAATTCGCCAGTTGAGAAATATAGGGGCTAGATAAAAATCGCGTCAGCGCATTTTTTGAATGTTCAGAGAAAAAGTGCACGATTGCTGGTGTTATAAGAGCACTCCGAAGGCAGGACAAGGTAGAAAATCGACTTTGAAAAAAAATTTTAAGTCAAAAAATCACGTTTTTTTTTAATTGCAAAATAAACGATGATAATTTTTATTTGTCGCAAAAATAACACCGGATTCTGAAAGAGCATACCCAAAAACCCCTGGGTATGGGTTTTCAAGAAAATATTTTAACTTTATCTATAATTTTTTTACAATGGAAAATTCATGCACAAAATTGCACTTTTGCGCGTTAATGGGTTAAAGAAAGCTCTGTGAGCTATGATAAAAAGCCTAATATCCTGTGTGCAACGATCTAAAGATATTATTTCGCACTATTAAGGTAGTTCCCTAAAAAAAATGACTATCGATAAAGGGTCTTGAAATTTTAACCACATATTATTGACAGTGCTTTTCATATGTGTGAGAAATTTCAGGAACTTTAACCAAACCATTTCCGAAATATAATTAATCAAAGTTCGATACTTTAATATGGGATCCCTATGCTAGCGTGTCGAAAAGAAGCTATTTTGTGTGATTTTCAAAAAACGCATCGATAAAATCTTTTCAAAAACTAGCAGATGATTGTTCAATATGCACTAAAACATAGCACAAAAACTGGAAAAACTTGACCAAACAGTTTTTGAGAAAAATTAATGTAAAAACATTGCAAAAATAAAAATTTTAACTTTTTGACCTAAACCCCACTTTTTAAGGTTTTTAGGGTCATTTTAAACAAAAAAGTGCTTTTGCAAATTTTCTCTAAAATCTATTGTTCATGAGCTATAAACGATTCAAATTTAAACAATTTCAAGCAATGAATCTTTGCGATTTTTCATCTCAATAAGTACGAAAAATTTTAAAAGAACAAAAAAGTCTTAGAATGTGTCAAGGAAAGCGTATGGATTTTTCCAGATGTTTTCTAGACGTATGCCCACATTGGTCGGTCAGGTCTGAGGGAACTACCTTAACTCTCGTCAACTATCGCGAATAAAAGTATACTCTCGCGTAGCGTGTATGCAGTAGGTTAGCTGTAAAATCGAATAACTAAATGTATTTGTTTCTTTGATGATATTAAAAAATTTTTTCAGTCATACGTATACCCTCAAATTTTATTGGAATTTTCAGGATCGCTCATCGCCCTTTTTCTGAGGCTCACACTACTTTTTTTGAACAATTTTGTAGCGAAGCTTTATTGAGAAAAAAACATCGTTTTCATTTAATTTTTCAGAACTTTCTTCATATCTTGTTTAATCATGTATCATTTTGAAATAGAACAGTGTTTAATTTTAATTTATCATGGAAATAATCGTATTTTTAGGAGCAACCTCTCTGCAGAAGTTACATACTTATTTATAATGAAAGAAATTTTTAAATCTCACTAAAATATATTTATTTTATACATTCATAAAATTCAAAAATTATCCTATACTTATTACGTTTAAAGAGTTTAAAAAATAAGTTTATTTCCTATACTTTCTGAAACTCTTTTGCAATAAAAAATTAACGAAATCTCAATTTAACCATGAGTAGCTGCGAGTTACAACAATTCGCGTAACGGCAACAAAAATGTACCACACGTAAAATAGCTCACCTCAACAATCCGTCATTTTGTCTTGGCCAATGTACGTAGAAAATTGATTGTATCCGCGTCGACGCACAAGAAAAAGCGCATCACCGTAAAGGACGCGATAATACGCCTCCGCCGATGACGCCCTGCGTAGCGCGTGCGGGGGCTGATGCTGCTGCTCGTCTCATCAATGAAAAAAAAAGGAGGCTATTTCGCACCTGAACGACTCCCGAGCGAAACGAGACCCATGTGGTGGCTGCTGATAAGCAGAGATTGCGGATACATTGAATTATTGCCGCCGCCGCCGCCGCTGCTGACGCAAGAAAGTAAATCTGCTATCCCCAGCTTCTGATGCTGCTGCGGCTGGGTATAAAACAGTGGAGCATCGAGTTCGAAGCCGTTATTCAAGTTGCACGAGCGAGTAGTACGCGAACGCGCCGAGAAAATTCGCTGCAAGAGAAAAAAATTGTCGCTGGGTCAGTTCTTCGCCAAATACTTCAACTTCTCCGATTGCGCCAAGAGATTCTTGTCCAAGACGCACTTTGAATTTTGAAAAGAGCTATCTATCTTGATCATGCGAAGAACGAGACACGTCGTGCTGCCGGTCAAATCCTGGCAGTACATCGGGCTGCTCGTGGTCTCGCTGGCCTGCCTCACCCTCGGCCACGTATCCCGCGACCGAGAGGGCAGACATGGAAGTCTCGCCGGGCCCGAACTATCGCACAATGCTCCGCACGAGTAAGTATACGATGATATAATCTAATTACGATAAGTATATGCGACGCCTACGGGGTTAACAAACATATATGTGATGCAGGGTGGACGCCTGTCCAAATGAAAACGGCGACTTTTGCCGATCGAGCCTCGAAAGCGACGAGACGAGGACGATCGCCTCTCCCAGGACTTCTCGGCTGATCGAGCGACGCGTGGAACAGCGTCTCGTCGGTCAACGCAATCGTGCCGCGGAACGACAGGACGAGCGTAGAATTCGATCTCGATCGAACGAACGTGAAATCGCTGCGAGGCGAATTCGTCGGGACGATCGAGTAGCCCGAGACGCGAGGAATAATTTGCTGGAACGCAGAGCTCGAGCAGCGGACGCTCGGAGAGAACGAGTGGCTGCCTCGACGCAACGACGTCTCGGCACGAGCGAAGATCGCGATATGCGACGAAGAGTCGACTCGATGGAGCGACGCGATCGAACGTCAACGCTTCGATCGAGCGAACGTCGAGCAATCGATGAAAGTCGCGAGAGAATCGCCTCGAGGGATCGACGAGAGCCGAACGCACGCAGAGAGAGGTTGGTTCGATCGGTGGTGGAGCGTCGTTCCGACGAAGCCGGCAGAGAGGCGAGAATTCGCCGCGAGCTTCGACTCGATCGAAGAGCCGTATCGATGGATCGTCGCTGGGAATCGACATTACGCAACAACGATCGAAATGCCCAGAGAGAACGGCGAATTTCCACGGAAAATCGAGAACGAGCCGTTCGATCGAACGAGATGCGCGCGCTCGATGAAAATCGGGAAAGAGTCGATCCGGAACGTCGCGATGCCAACCGAATTCGACGAAGTACTCGATCGGTCGAACGACGCGAGAGGACCAACGATATTCGCTCCGTGGCCGGCCGTCGCGCGAGTCCGAATCGAGAGCGCCGATCTCTGCTCTCGGAGCAGCAACCCCAGCGAGAGCGACAGGCACGACGCGAAGTTCGAAGAGAGTCGGAGCAACGATACGAGAGAAATTCTCGCGCGAGGATGGACGAAGAATCGTCGAGGCGAAACGTCAGGCTTTCCGGTGAAGCGCGTAGCGCTCGCAACGACGAGACCAGGAGAGAGAAAGGACTGAATCTCGCTCGTGACGCGATCCAACGAGATTTCGACTCTTGGACTTTTAAGCCCAATGTAAGAATAAAACATTTTTACGTAAGATCGATTAATTACATGAATTATTGTACTTGATTCGGGTTCATGTTTTACAGCTAAAATTGGAGGAATGGAACTATAATATTCTGAAGCAAGGATTGCTGACTGTTGCTTGCTTGATCTATGCCTCTTCGATAATCAATCGCAAAACATTTTCAGGGTAAGATTAACTACATGGTTTTTTATTCGCGTAAGTAATTATAGAGTATGATTGATAATCCAAATACTATGTTTTATTGCAGACATCTAGCCCAATTTGGAAGCCGCGCAACAGCTATCTGGTAAACTTTGATCAAACCCAATTATCGAATACTATCGATGACTGTTGATTATAAATGTAGAAAATTATACTGTTAAAAAAGTTTTAAAGGTATTAATTTATTGAAAAAAAAGACAGAATAAATAGTACAAAAAGATATGAGCTATTCCACAATAGGTGTTGGAGGCCCAAAAAATGAAGTTGAAACTAACCATTTACTCTTCAAGAACACAATGAAAAATAAAAATCCTGAAGAGCACAGCCCCCTGGGTCCAACCCTCATGGATCTACAGGGGCTCAAAGTTGGATTTTTATGTTTTGAGGATATTCTGCTTGTTACTCTGCTTTTTTAAGGTGCATATGAAAAAATTTTTAAACCATGTTTTTTCATGTAAAATTTGATGTAGAATTCAAATCTGTACTCAGATGAAACATTCATAACCTCAAAACCCCTTGAAATAGAAAAACATGGTTTAAACATTTTTTCATATGCACCTTAAAAAAGCAGAGTAACAAGCAGAATATCCTCAAAACATAAAAATCCAACTTAGAGCCCCTGTAGATCCATGAGGGTTGGACCTAGGGGGCTGTGCTCTTTAGAATTTTCCTTTTTCATTGTGTTCTTGAAGAGTAAATGGTTAGTTTCAACTTCATTTTTTGGGCCTGCAACACCTGTTGTGGAATAGCCCATATACAGGAGTAGAATTAAACAAATTTATAAATAAACAAATCTTTGATCCAAAATTCAAAAACTTTAAATGTTAAAGTAAACTAAAGTTAAAATTTCATATGCATATGGAAAAATATTAGACTCGCTATTTTTGACATTTTTCTCACATTGACTGTTTAATAGATATAGTAAAAGTAGCTCGAACCTATAAACTTGCTATACAAAGATGTGTAACCATTATAATGTAATAAAGGATATGAATTTCACTTATGGCATTTCTTATTTATTCATTGCCATTCTTTGCAGTTTTTAAAGTATAGAGCTCATGAAGTGTAAAGGTTTGCCATGACATTTTACTCTATATCGTCCAGTAAAGTTCATCAAAACAAATTATTTATGTCATTGTAACGTGTAAAAGTATATAAAATCGAAAAAATGCCAATTCCCATTTTTGCTTTCGATTATTTAAGTAATTTTACCTCTTTTTTTTTCAATCGACTATTCATTTGAACATTTGGTTAATTTTTTATAAATTTTTGATTTTTCAGTTATGATACAAAGTTTTCTGTTGTAAAATTCAATTTGGCGATAAAAGCGAGATAAACATGCACATTCACATTAAGCTAACTAAAAAGAAATTACATGCTATATGTAGTTGCTGAAATCGGGTTTTTTTAATTTTTATGAAACCACGATAAAATTCTACAGGTTCGGACGCTAGCTGCAGCTTAACGTCTGCAACTACTGCTGTGGGTGCTGCCTCTAATGTTAACATTTTAAAATCATAATGTAAACAAAATCATAGCCACATTGACATAGGCAGTTTTTTTAGCTGCTCCAGCAGAAGAAGCAGTAAGCAGAATAATTTTTATTGCATATATGAAAATTCAAGTGATAAAAAATGTCACATGTGCATCTATGCACTATGATAGCATGGACCAGTTCAGGTTAGGTATAGTTATCCGTGTAGTTTAAGGAACATTTTAAGGCCCTTTAGGAGTTTTAGTTTGTTGTCATGTGCATTGACATTAAAAAAGTCAGAGTTTCATTGATTTTAATATAAGCAATAATAACCCTTTTGGTTTAGTTCATATTAATGCTTAATAGTGCAGTTTATTACAGTGAAGTGATATTATATGCAATAAAGACGGTCATAATGCAAGTGTGTAGAGTACTAGGTAGACCAATCTACTACAGGATATATTCTCTATTGTTTTATTATTCTCTATTATCATAGAGAAAACATTTAAAATATCAAATCTCAAATACAACTGCAATAGTTGAAACATTTGGACTTGACTACTTTTCCACATGCAGTGCAAAGTGCATAAAAGCATGTGAAAAAATGAAATTAGTAGAAAGTGAGTGATAATCATGTGAGGTCCAGCGATGATGGGTAGTATAAGTTTATATAATAGTTGAAATTCAATCTCTCTATTTGGTTGTGCTGATAAGTTTAATTTCTAACCATCTGTTCCATTGTGCGCCAGGTTTCTCAATAAGCTTTGAATATTGAGACGTCTGGTATGGATCGAATTCTTCAGAAAATGTCCTTAACAGATTGAGTTTTGTAGAATTTTTACTAAAATTATTAAAAACTATGTACGTCATCAAATGTGATCTGATGCAAAAAATCAAAAAATTTATTGATGATTTTAAGCTGACATATAAGGTTCAACATCAAAATTATACAAAACTCAATCCATAAAGAGCATTTTTGTCTGGACGAGAGATCTCTATCATAAAGACTCGTTTAAAAAAAAGTTATAGCCACTATTTAGCCCAAATTTTGTTAACTTCCCGTAAGTGCCCGTATTAAAAGATAGGGCTGTGCGAGTACCCGAGTTTTCGAGTTTTGGAGTCGACGAGTCGGGTTCTATTCTTATTCGAAAAGAAAACAAATGTTGCATGCCTCTTTTGATAAAGACTACAAGTCAACCATTTACGTAGATCTCTTTCGACGTCTGCAACTATGAGAACGTATATATATCTGCTGGCATATAATCTCACGTCGGTAAGGTAGTACAGCAAGAAAACCCCTGTTTTACTTGGGTTGGGGACATTGTCGATTTCGCTGGTCAAATTAACTCAACAAAGCCGGCTCTATGATAAACAGAGAAAGGAAATGCTCGGGAAATTGAAAAATATCAAGGTACACCCTCCACTGAACGTGGAATGTATCATTGCTCGCCCCAATATAGAGGCGTGCCTGATACTCTGCGAGTTATTCAGCGTATGTGGACTGCAAGTCTGATAAGCGCAAAAACATTTGTAAAATTAAGGTTATAATTTGTAAAATATTTGATCTATTTTTTAATTTTGTAATTTTCCAATTATAATTATAAATAAAAAAAACTCAACAAAGCATTTCGAAAATCAGCTTGGCGTAGCTAAAGGCTATTTAAGTGAACTGGATTCGTGAGTTCTAGGGTTCTTAGGTTAATTTCTCTGAAAGTTTATGTTTTTTTCTCTTTTTTTTTCTTTTTCTTTTTTCTCGTTTTTTTCTTTTTCTTTTTCCTCTTTTTTTTCTTTTTCCCTTCATTTCTTCTTTTTTTTTTCGTCATTTTTTTCGGCATTTCGACGCCCCTCTAAGTCATTTGTGGGTGCCACGGCACCCATGGTACCCATAGTGCGCCATATTCGCGAAAGCGATATTTGCTTTACGATACCTTAAACCGGAGACCTTTTATTTTATAAGCGTTCATAAATTAGTAAGTAAACACATATCTTTTTTAATCTTGCGTTCTTCACAAGTTCAAAAAGAGTGGTAAACTCAACGAATATAGCAGGGCAAAAGCAACTATTAATATGCTGTTCAGCATTAGCCGAGTGAGAGGTTTCACAAGCAAGAAAACGCAACACAAGTATCTCACCATTTCTGTGGTTTGTGGTAGGTAGTTAATGAAGAATATCGCTTTAACCATTATGACATTTAGGGTTTTAACTTTGTTTTGGCATTCTAAAAAGTAAATATGCGTACATCTATTATTATTGATTTAATATCTTTTTATTAAGGGACACATACGCCGTAAACTCAAACTTTTTTATTCGATTTCTAAATAGGAGTTTTCCTCTCCTTACCATTGCATTCTTCAGAACTCCAAAATGTCGATATTTTACTGAAATATAGCCGTTTCCGTGAGCCTTTTTCTTATACTAGTTAGGTGTTGAATTTGTTTTTTCTTTTCCTTTCTGGCGAGTCGTGTTTTTGGTCGCCTTTCGTAATTTTCAGAGGGTATTGACTGAGTTTCAGCACCAGGATCACATACACTTCTTCAGATCATCAATGGTTACGGTCACTCGTTCATTTAACAGAAGTTTTGCTAGACATTTTGGAGGACCGAGAATTTGACGATACTTTTTTGCATGCACAAATAATGAAAATCTTTGATTGGGCACGGGTTTGAATGAATTTTTAGACAATATTTTTGTGCGTTTTTTCAATTTCGGACCAAAAATTCATTCAAACTCGTCTCAGATCATCAAATTTCATTTTTTTTCTTTTTCCTTCGTTCAAACACTAGTCAAGAGTATAAACTTTGAGTAATTTATCGAACTTTTAGATTTCGATGGTCCTGACAAAAATTATCTCGCTATAAACTAATAAAAAAGAGATAATTTTCAATACTTACAGCTCAACTTTTTATTACGAATTCTAAATTAATCTTACCCATAATTACTTGGCTGTTTAATCGATTGATTCTTTTTTGCACCTTGTGCACGATGAGTTGTGAAGGACTCCTGCCCTTATTAGCCATTTAACAATAAACCAATATCAATCTTATGACGCTAACTTTGGTAACATAATAAAATACCATAAGATCTATAATCATCATAAAAATAATAAAAATTAAGCAGGATCAAGCAATTCACAGGTTTTCAAAAATGTACTAATGTTAAATTATTCATACTTTTATTTATCTTGGTATTCTCCAAAATACTTACACGTTTAAAATTGAAATATGGTCAATAGTTATGTGTGAATAATTTGTCATATTTGATTATTTAATAAGTAGACTGTAAAACTTTTAATGAAACGAAGCGAAGATGAGTGAATGACTGCTATTATAGTTCAATTGTTTTCGAATTAATTGTATGCTTCTTCTTCGGTTATTCTTCCCAAATGCGTATTTGGCTCTAGCTTCGCACGAAATGATGACGAAGTATTTTCTGTTATTTTAGTCGTAACGTTTTCATTGGCACTCGATTGTGTTTCATCTTCCTCGTTGTCATATGTAAACTGCTGCGTAGAATCCGATTTACGATCTTTATTATGGCAATATCTTTTTCTTTGCATGCCTCCAGTCTCACCATCTTTCTCTAATCTATGCCCAGATTTGGATCGCGTAAGTTGTTGATTCACATATTTTTCAATTTCATTTTCTTCTTTTTTCGTTATAATTGTATTCAACGAAATAAGAACTATACCTAATATTAAAGAAAGAAACCCAACTATGATCAATTCATTCCACCACGTTTTCGAAGAAGTTGGCTGCCAGGTTGTTATATCATTTGGTAGAAACCCGCTGATTAATAGAAAAACTCCTATCAGTAAAAAAACGATACCAATATGTAGCATTCCGAAGGTAGTTGCAACTCGATAATCGATTCCATGGATGATCGAGTGCTTGGCCTTCATAGCTGGAAAATGTGGTGAATAGTCGATAGAATTAGTCGATGCTCTTGGCGATGTCCTTCCACTTTCTGCCGAATGTAGACTGTATCGTCGTTCTTTAGCACGGCGTTGTTCTTCTCTGCGTTTACGTTGACGTTTTATCGCCAATGCCGAATGGAGTCCAACCGCATGCATTATGACCCTATTGAAAATACAAAATAGTTTAAACTCGACAAACAAATTTAATTCGTTTCATTTTCATGAAAAATATATCATGAGGGTCGGATTCGTAATTTTTTGTAATACAGATTTTAAAATGATAAAGTAATCCCAGAATCCATGTGAAAGTTAGATATTTTAATTTTGATTCCGAGCGTAATTTTGACTTAAACATTGTGGCAAAATTCATGGAGCTACGTGAACAATCTTATGAAAGGACATTTAAGTCTTACTGCTATTTAGAAAAATTATTGGAATTTCAAATAATTTTTTTTTTCGAGTAACGCAATATTTTACGCTGATTTCTCACATCCGAAGACACGTTCTCTCAGATTTGCGTACTTTTTGTTAGATAGTTAGTCACTTGACGTTATTTTTCTCGTATTAATTACAAACAAACAAACAATAGTCAGGGTTTTGTAAGAATTTTTAAGAAAGCAAGAAATACAAAATAGGTTTCCACAAGGTATATACCAGGTATATATTACCTTGTATTTACAAAACATGTACCAGATATACAGGATGGGGAATAAATATGGAAACCCCTGGAAATTTCGCAGAATAAGTTGGGAAAAAAAATCAAAAACCTTATATCCGACGTATTATTTCACGGGGAATCCAATGGTGACCTTGAATTTGACCTTGAACATGACCTTCAAGCTCCAGCGACCCAAAAATCGATTTTTCATATGTAACCCCCATTTTTTATTGCAGATTTGAAAAGAGCACAAAATTTCACGTCAAAATGTATGTTTTGTTTTTTTTTTCAAGGTTATTTTAAGGGCGTTACAGACGCAAATAAAACCCCAATTTAACCTACAATTAAGTTCAAGTGAGGGCTTTTTTTCAAATTGTACTGCCTCCAAAATGACCTCAAAAAAAATAATAAAATACATATTTTCACGTAAAATTTTCCACTCTTTTCACTGGTGACCTTCAATTTGACCTTGAACATAACCTATACTCTACGGTGAACCAAAAATCGATTATTCGCACGGTGACCCCCATTTTTTATAACAGATTTGAAAAGAGCACAAAATTTCACGTCGAAATGTACGTTTTGTTTTTTTTTTTAAGGTCATTTAGGAGGCGGTACAATGAGAAAAAAAGCCCTTACTTGAACTTAGTTTTAGGTTAAATTAGGGTTTTATTTGCGTCCGTAAAGCCCTTAAAATGACCTTGAAAAAAAAAACAAAACATACATTTTGACGTGAAATTTTGTGCTCTTTTCAAATCTGCAATAAAAAATGGGGGTTACATTTGAAAAATCGATTTTTGGGTCGCTGGAGCTTGAAGGTCATGTTCAAGGTCAAATTCAAGGTCACCATTGGATTTCCCGTGAAAAAATACGTCGGATATGAGGTTTTTGATTTTTTTTCCCAACTTATTCTGCGAAATTTCCAGGGGTTTCCATATTTATTCCCCACCCTGTATATATAATGTATATACCTTGTACAATGTACATACCTTGTAAATACAAAGTATTCATTATTTATATACCTTGTAAATACAAGGTATTTATCATATATATTCCTTTTCAATACAAGGTATTTATTATTTATATACCTTGTACATACAAGGTATTTATTATATACATACCTTGTAAATACAAGGTATTTATTATATATATTCCTTGTAAATACAAGGTATTTATTATATAAATACCTTGTAAATACAAGGTATTTATTATATATATTCATTGTAAATACGAGATATTTATTATATATATTCCTTGTAAATACAAGGTATTTATTATATATATTCCTTTTAAATACAAGGTATTTATTATATACATACCTTGTAAATACAAGGTATTTATTATATACATACCTTGTAAATACAAGTTATTTATTATATATATATACATTGTAAATACAAGGCATTTATTATATACATACATTATAAATGCAAGGTATTTATTATATATATTCCTTGTAAATACAAGGTATTTATATAATAAAATTTTTTTTTTTTAGTCATCGGTTTTCCAGATTTTTTGGGGAGGCCAGAACTTTTAGCGCGAGACTCATTCTACGCGTAATATTTAGATTTCTCGATTCGCTTTTTGTCTTGTTGCCCTCTATCGATCACATAACTCAATTTTTCACGAGATATCATACGCTCAGCATTAGTACTGCTTTGTGACTTTTGCCACACCCAACTTCGATGCTTTAACATCATGACATGAAAACTTTCTTTCATTATTTTGGACGCATTCGTCGCCATGGTGATGAACAAATTTCATGTAAATCTCAAGTTTGAATAAATTTGAATACATTTTTAGTTCACTAAACACTAATCAATGATTGTACAAAAATATATCTCCCCAGGAAAGTAAAGGTATTTTCGCTAAAATACAATACAAAGTTATCTACTCGAATCACAAAATTGAAGGCTGAACTTAGCGTTAGTTTCTCCGGGGAAATAAAGAATATTTTGCCAAATCACAAAATTAACTTACACAACCAGTACATAAGGAAAAATAAATTGTTTGGCTTTCAAAAAAATTAATCTTTTGAATTTTACAGAAGACGAAAATTGTTTATAATTTTTCAGAAATTCCCAGAAAAATATGTACATTGTGAAGGGGCTCAAGAATATTTTATTTCAATTTTTTATGTGATTTCTCACATGATGTAGCACATAAAATGTTGGCTTGAAATGTCACAAGAGAAATTACGTGATTTTTTTTTTGGGTATCATGCATGGATTTTCAAAAAATTAATAAGAGTGAATAAGAGTCAGCATGAATAAAACTTACTTGTTTACAATTCAATTATCTAAAAGGAGCAGCACTCAGAGGTATTGGATACAATTTTTTTAACGATAAATTTTAGTGATATCTGAAAAATAGTTATACAACTGTATGATCATGAAAATATTTTATAATTAATGCAATTATTTGAAATAATTTTCTGAGCTATATAGTGATTATTTAAAAAATGATCCCATTATATTTGGATTTTATAGAGGCAGAGCTTTATTTATTATATTTAAACTAATTTTAAATCATTCAATCGAGAATGTGCAGTATCAAGTATATGCATAATTTGGTAGGGTTATATGAACATTGGACACACTGATTATTGTTCGCATTCAATATTAGTACAAACATTTTCCACAAAATTCAAATTTATCAAGTGTTAATGAATATGTATGACAGTCTACCAAAAACATTATTTTTGATAAAAAGTTCCATTCAATGACAACATCAATTATTAAAGGAAAGTAATAAGTCCATTAAAGTTTCGGTAATAATAATTTACCAGTAATATTTATTTGATAAAAAATTTTACACAATGATTTCATGCTTTAAAATTCCTTTTCAACTCTTAATTTCTAATGATCTAAGTATTTAATTGTATTCTATATTGTAAATACTTGATTTTTCATTACACAACATAATCATCTGGACAGGTAAAGTAACTCCCATATGAAATGTTGTTTTAAAAGCGCAGTGCACCAAGTATAACGTACAATGAAGAATTCTTATTTAATGAAAAGGAATTTTCTTTCTATAGTCTATCTATTTAAATATTAAAATTGTTTTAAAAGAGATAATAATAAAAATTGTGTACCATATTTAATTATTCTAAGCATTACATGCATGTAATCTTAAGATCTAATGATATTATCTGTTAAATACTGCATAAAAGTTTGGCGAAACTTATGTTGTATTCGAGAAATTCTATGCGGTACTACGCAAGCGTCGAAATAATAATGGTGTTCGCACTTTGTATGATCTGGATTGACTCTGTAATATCAAAGAATTGAAAGTAAATAAATTAAGTGTGATGTTATTTATTATAAATAAAATTTTATTAAATTAAACATTCACTTATCATATGATATTATAGTACTTTTTATTTTCTGGAACAAATGTTCTTATAACATTTTTCTAGTTGAAAAATGGAGCAGATTTTCATGCACAAAATTTTTACAATTGACGTGGATTTAGCGTAGAATCGACGTGGATAATGAATCGATTGTACCTCGATAAATCGTCGAGATATATTTTGAAATTGACTCGGCGGTCAGGAGCGTGAACGTGGATTTTCAATTTATGCACATGGAATATTTGAGAATTGATATAAATTAAAATTTCTTCATTATGTCATATTTATAAAAATTTTAAATATCGTGCTATGGATTATTTTTAATCTTGAAATCTTTCAATTGTATTATTAGGCATTACTTATAAATATAATAATTAATTTGAAAAGAAATTTTATTCATGCATGGAAAATTACATCTTAAAATGTTTCAAAATGAGTTTTCAGATACTTAATTATAAAATAATGAAAAAAACCAAATAATATCAAACGAAAAAAACTTATTTTAAATAAGAGTATCATATTAATAGATAAAGTGTATTTATGGCAAAAAAATCTATCCACATCAATTTTTACGAAAAATACTCACGGGAAGATAAAAAATTTGCATGGATTTCACAAAGAATTCACGTCCGTTCTCTAAAAATCAACCTAAATATTTTTTTCGTCTACCAAATTGAAAAATACTTAAAAATATTAGTCTGCAATTCATTCACTAGTAATAGATGCATCAACCAGTAAAAGCGATGCACGATCCAAGTCGATTCCACGTAAAGTCCACTTCAAAACTGTGGAAGTCCATGTAAATTTTTTCATCCAGGTTTTGATTAAAATTATTTTTTTACGCAAATGAACATTTTTATAAAACGCTTACTTAGGACACTTAAATCAAGTTTTTGTGAGTAAACAAATATTACCGAATTAAAATTTAACGAGTTTATTTTTGCTGTTGTTTTCAAAAATTGCCGTTTAGTTATTGTAAAACTTTCTTCTTATTTGCTAAAATGCACTATATAACTGCATTGTAATATGAAAAGTACACGAAAAAAGCTTACAATACAATTTTTAAGTTTAAAAAAAATCAATGGAAAGGGAATGAAAAAAATCTTAAAAATTGAAGTAAGTTTTTTTATTTACAATGATTTAAAGTGTTTAAAAATACAAGATTTTATGGTTTTTACAAGTTTTATTTTTTGGGATTTATTTCTATTTGTGATAATGAAAAACGATTTTGGCCATTGAAACTATGAAATAAACAATTGTAATTAAGTGTACGAATAAAATTTAATCATTTTTTAATGAGTTTATTATTGCTGCATTTTCTATCTTCTTAACAGTTTCGATAAATATTTGTCACGTGTAATTAATTATCATGTCAACATTTGATGAATTTTCATGACAATAAACCATGTCAATCCTTAAAAACGCATATCTAATCAATTATGACTTTCGTTGATATTATGATTGCAATTAAAAGTGTAATAAGATGATAAAAGTCTTATTTATAGTTCATTTTAGGTCAAAGAAGTATAATCTTAAACACTGATAAGGCAAAAATCAAGCGATGAAAATGATAACTATAATTATAAATCATTTTTAATTTTTACTATAATTCAAAAATTAATCTTAGTTTAAATAAACTTTTCACTGATTAACTTTTTGAAGCTTTAATTAAATTTAAACTTAGAATTTTAAAATTTCAGTTTAGATACTTGAGATAATCTATTATACGATTTTAAGCATTATTACACATCGAATCACTAAACGATTGCTATCATCATTCTCACTATTTCTTCGAAATATTTTTCAGAAGGGTCAATTTATAATTTTGAAAAACTATTATTTTATGATCACTAATATGTTTCAAAATATAAGTGAAAGTGATTTATTAAATAGTGTGTTGGGGCCAAGGTTCTTACCTTTTGATGTAGTATTGTCGTTAACAATTTTGTATGTGACGATTTTTTTTATTGGTACGATTGGAAATTTAGTGACTTGCGCTATTATACTAGAAAATTCAGCAATGCACAATGCCACTAATATATATCTTGCAAACTTAAGCCTTTCCGATTTGCTTTTACTTATTATAGGTAGGTAGGAGTAATAATATTTATTATCTAATTTATAAGAGAGCTTATTGTAATTCCCTTAAAAAATTCCACGTAGGAATTTCGCGGGATCTTACAGGAAATTTTTCCAAGGTGTATAATTTTCTATCTATCCTCACGTTGTAGGATTCGTTACAAAAAAAATAATTAGTACAGACAAGCTAACACAAAGCTAAACGTGAAAATTTCTAATGAGAAAAATACTGCAGGTAATTTATGCCATGACTAATTTTTTTCAAAATTTTTGAGCTTATATTTTCGTTACTATGAACATAATATTTTTGGCTACAGAATTTTTCTCGGTGCATTTTTTATTTGAAAGGGGGCGTAGATTTCTATGTCGATACATGTTTAATCGATTAAATATTCTATGTAGATTTTTCAAATCTTGGATCTTTTGTATATGAGGTGCGCGGTACGCGCTCCTCGATATTTCAAAACATAAAGAAAAAAAGATTTGCTCCCCTAGTTCTCATCAGTAATGAATTATTTCATTCATTTAAGGTTTACCCAGTGAATTAAATTTATTTTGGCAACAATATCCATGGAGTTTTGGACACAAATTTTGTAAAATTCGAGCATTTTCTTCAGAAACGTAAGTGTTAATTATTTTTCAGCACACTTATAGAGTAGAGTTTACATACATAATATCATATGCGCCTAAACGTATCTACGTATCTGGACTTTATATGTAAAATTAAAGTACTTCTACTCAGTTTTTATTTTATTACACCTAACATTATTTTTAAATTTATATCCTTGGTGTGTAGTATTGCCTCTATAATCTTCATATACAGCTATACAGCCTTAAGGAGGCTGTAGCGAAATTGAAAAAATCTTTAGACCGGAGTGAAATTTCAACCACTGATAGTTCATGAAATTACAAGATTTTTGGTAAAAAAAAAATTGGGGGTTCCCATGCAAATTTGGGAAATAATGAAATTCAAAGTTTTGGCCATTTAACATTGAATCAAATGGGAAGTGGCAGTTGCTAGTGTACTGTGAGCTCAAATCTCTTTACAAGTTAATGAAATTAACATATGGTATAGGAAATTTCATTAGCTTTCGAATGATATAATTATAAATGGGTGTTTCCAGGCAAATATAAAAGATATTAAGAGTCCAACACTTTTTCTCTGTGTTCTGGCATGCTAACGCTGTGCGCTGCGTAACGCATAGAGCCTTGCGCATGTAGCGTTTTAATATAGAACCACCTTGCATCGCTACAGCCTCCTTAACATGGTTCTCAGTGTATAATTTCATCAAAAAATCCAGCTGGAAATCCATTAAAAAATCCGACTAGAAACTGATCTCGAATTCAGCAAGATTTTCCGCTGAAAATGAAAATTGAGTAGTAAAATCTAACTGAAAAATCAACTTAAATTCGCGATAGAATAATCGAGTTAAAAATCGAGTCACAGTATCAAGCCAAATATTACGGCCATCTATATATTACTCATGTTTAGCCCGATAATTCTTGGGCTTTTTAAAGATTTCTCTCATTTATAAAAAAAGGTTAAATAATAAGAATATGGGGCTCAATGAAAGTCCACTAGATCCTATGCCGGTCAAAGTATATAATTTTGGTATACTAGATAGTGATTTTTTACGTTCATTTATAAATAGTGTTCAGATAAATTTAACACTTTTAATGGTCAATATTGTTATGAAAAAATAAAACATAATTCACTCCTTCTTAATTTTAGGTGTTCGTACGTTTCAGTTTTGACGATCGTGATTTTGGCAACGGAAAGATATACAGCCGTTTGTGAACCAATAAAGAATCGGATTGTGGCGAGAAATCGTCGACAAATATATGTTATAAGTATATCTTGGATGATATCTCTTTTGAGCGCATTGCCTATTGCTATATTTACTACTTTATTTTATATCGAATATCCGCCAGGTAAGTGAACATATTTATGCTTTTTCTGTTTTATATATATATAGATTATTAAATTTTAGTTTGTTGTTCACTTATCACTTGGTGAGACCTAATTAATGCACTCTATCATTTAACCACTAAATCCTGAAGTAATATCGACAATATTATAAACATACTGATTGATTATTTTATCAATCTATTCTTTTTACGCTTATGTTCAACTCAAAATTATACATGCTCCAATGTCAAATCACACTGCATACACTTGACAATATTGTATTTCATTAATTTCAAGTAATTCACTTGAATTGCAGTATGTATATATGAATAATAATTATTCTTACAGTATTTTTTTTTTTAGGGTCTGGTCTTTATTCTAAAAATTCTTCTATCTGTGCCATGTTGACACCATACATGCCTAAATACCCTCTGTATGAACTCAGCAGCATCATTTTTTTCTTAATACCATTATTTATAATTTCATTGCTATATGTAAAGATGGGACTTGCGATTCATCAAAGCGTTGCAGTTTGTAATAATTTGAAAAAAAGTTTTGCAAAAACTTCTCCCTCGCTTTCAGACGTTTCCCAAACAATCAACATGAAAAAAATAAGTAAGTTTGCTCGTAAATATTGCTGATTACTTACATTATTAAATTTTTTATTCATCATATTGAAAGTTCCTGAGCCGGTCAGCCGAATGGCGTTTATACTATTAAGGTAATATTTCATATGTTAAAGGGGCAGAAAGATAAATGTAATTTCGATGTGTTCTTTCTTATTTTCCGAATTTATTAAAGAAACCGATTATCAGAACGTGTCCTGATGATAGGTTAACCTTTTTTAATTGATTAAAATGCACTGAATCGTGGCCTGAAACCCTTTATCCACAAACGTAATATTTTGTCAAGTTGGTGCGGGCTTCGTTTGCTCCAACCAAAAGATTTTTGCCTGCTTTCTGGTGACGACCTCAGATTTTCCGAAAAACTCATTTTCTGCTTTAAAATTTCTTTTCATGTTTATCAAAATTCATGTCTAAAAACATCAGATTCTTAGTTTTATACACACTAACAAGGAGAGCTTTTCAGGTTTGGGTCATGGATTTGCTCCAAAATTTTTTTGCGGTCTCCCGGTACCCAATACTGAAGCTCCCTATGCTTAGTTTGATCCAATGGGCCTTAGGGCCCATTTTGTAGAGGATCTTCCACATTATAAAAAAATCTTTGTTATTTTCTATATCGAAATACAAGTATTTAAACGAAAAAATGGGACGATCAAAAGTTTTAAAATTTTTCAAAGAATCTGCTTAAATTTTTTCAGAATTTTTGGGACCATCTACCACTCTCTTTACGAAGTTCTACCCAGGTGAAAATAGTATGTAAGATCTGACTCCAGATCTGGCATCAGATCCGGTATAAGATTTGACAAATGTATACCAGATCTGCCATCAGATCTGACATCAGATCTAATGTCAGATCTGAAGCGACTGTATTGCCTCTAATTAATTAAACAATAAGTTTATTAATAATTAAAATTTTATAATAAATCTTAAAAATAAAAGTTGTTGAATCAATTTAAATTCACATTATCAGAAACCTAAATAATGTAGGAATTTTTCTTAAAGTTATTATTGATGTGATTATTAAAATATAACTAAATTTGTTATAAAACTTTAATTATTTATAAACTTATTGTTTAATTAATTAAAGGCAATACAGTCACTTCAGATCTGACATTAGATCTGATGTCAGATCTGATATCAGTTCTGATGTCGATTATCGAATACAAGATCTGGAGGCAGATCTTACATACTATTTTCACCAGGGTAAAATCTACTAAAAAAGCGTCAAATTTGGGCCTCTTGAATTAAGTGATAGATGTTCCAAAAATTCTAAAAAAATTCAAGTAGATTCTTTGAAAAATTTTAAAACTTTTGATCGTTCCATTTTTTCGTTTAAGTACTTCTATTTCGATATAGAAAATAACAAAGATTTTTTTATAATGTGGAAAATCCTCTACAAAATGGGCCCTAAGGCCCATTTGATCAAACTAAGAACAGGGAGCTTCAGTGTTGGGTACCAGGAGACCGCAAAAAAATTTTGGAGCAAATCCATGACCCAAACCTGAAAAGTTCTCCTTGTAAGTGTTGAGTCATTGATGTATCGACCACCCTAACGTTTACACAGGTTGAAACTCATTCAATATTTTATAGATGCAGTTGCATTGATGTTCTTTTTCTGCTGGGCTCCGTTTCATTTGCAACGGCTATTATATGTGTATGGACAAGATGCAGATTATTATCTAGATATAAATGAATGGTTATATTTAATGAGTGGATGCTTATATTATTCAAGCACAATTGTGAATCCTTTGCTGTATAATTTTGTTTGTAAAAACTATCGCACGGCATGTCTTAAGCTGATGAGATTTATATTTTCATGAGGTATATCTTTGTAAATTTATAAAATAATAAAATAAATAATTGACGTTAACATTGCATCATTTTTTCATCTTGGTTTCAATTTTAAATGTGATTAAAAAGCGTTGAGCTTATTAGCTCGATTTTCTTCGACTGAGAGCAGATCTGCTTCGTTTCGCAGAGCCACAAGATTGCAACTTCGACCTTGCGGACAGGAAGGTGCATTTTTGGGCTCCAGTGAATTAATGGCGTATTATTAAACACGCTGATCCTGGTATGACATGAGGGGTGGCAAATTTTAGAATGAATATTAAATGGTTTTATTATACATGTGTATAAAGATTTATTTACTCGATTTTTTTGCGTGCTCTCGATATTTCCTGTCGGCAGTTTTTACCGGAGTATTTGGATTTAGAAGTCCAAAAAATTCGTCGAAGAAATCTTCGCCAAGTTAGAATTTTTAATTGTTTAAAATATTTCAAGAATAATGTATAAACCGATGAATGGGTAACTCAATTGTAAACAAAATAATCATAAACGATTTTGACATCGTCCCTTGGCACACTGATCATGTTCATAATAAAAACAAATTAGCTTGAATTTTGTCTTTCCCGATCAAACGAATCATAAAAACAAGAGATAAATTTAACTTATTCAATTTCCACATTCAGTATACTGAACCATCGTTTAATTCAGGCAACGAAATGAATAAAAGTGAAAAGAAATCCGAGGAAGTTGTCTCGAAAGATAATTTAAGTCAACACGACATTGTTGTTGCAGACGACAGAAACTACGTATGTGACGTTTGCCAGGAGGTATTTTCACTAGAATCAAGCATGATAACACACCGAGACACAATTCACAATGATCAGAAAAATTACGCATGTGACAAATGCGAAAAAAAAATTGAGTTCCGAAGTCATTTGAGCAGACACCAAGTATCAGTGCATAAAGTCCGCAAAGATTTTGCATGTGACCAATGTACAAAGGAATTTGTGAAAAAATCGAGTTTGCTTACGCACCAAAAATTAGTACATAAAGATCGCGACGATTTTACGTGTAACAAGTGCAAGAAAAAATTTGAAAATAAATCAACTTTACTCAAGCACAACAAAATATTTCACGAAGTTTTCAAAGATTGCTTATGTGAAAAGTGTGCGAAGAGATTTGGAAATAAACGGATTTTGCTTTTGCACATAAAAAGAGCCCATGAGGTCTGCAAAGATTTAACACGTGACAAGAGCGGGGAGAAATTTGAAGCTCAAAGTAATTTAATGAAACACCAAAAAACAGTCCATGAAAGTTGCGAAGATTTTGCATGGGACAGGTGTGATAAGAAATTTGGGGATAAAAGCAATATGATAAAACACCAAAAAATTTTCCACGACGGTCGCATAGACTACGTATGCAATATATGCGAAAAACCATTTGGACTCAAATCTTATTTGCTCTTGCACATAAAGACAGTACACGAAGGTCACACAGACTTCGCATGCGATAAGTGTGAGAAGAAATTTGGTCAAAAAATTCATTTGACCAGGCACCAAAAGACAGTCCAAGAAAATCAAAAAGATTTCCTGTGCGACAAGTGCGAGAAGAAATTTGGGGAACAAGGTAATTTGATCAAATATCAAAAAATAGTTCACGAAGGTCGCAAAGATTACGCATGCGACATTTGTGAGAAGAAATTTGGAAAAAAACCGAATTTGCTCAGACACCAAGAGACAGTGCATTATGGTCGCAAAGATTTTGCATGTGATAAGTGCAATAAAAAATTTGGATATAAACAGCATTTCCTCTTGCACCAAAAGACAGTCCACGAGGGTCGCAAAGATTACGCATGTAATGATTGCGAGCAAAAATTTGGACTTGAATCAGATTTAATGAGGCATCAAAATACAGTCCACGAAGGTCGGAAAGATTTCTCATGTGACAAATGCGAACAGAAATTTGGACTGAAATTTTATTTGTTAAGGCACCAAAAGACAGTCCACGAGGGTCGCAAAGACTACGTATGCGATAAGTGCGAGAAGAAATTTGGACTTAAATATAATTTGTTCATGCACTTAAAGACAGTACACGAAGGTCTCAAAGATTACGCATGCAATAATTGCGAGAAAAAATTTGGACTTGAATCAGATTTAATCAGGCATCAAAATACAGTCCACGAAGGTCGCAAAGACTACGTCTGCGATAAGTGTGAGAAGAAATTTGGACTTAAATGTAATTTGTTCATGCACTTGAAGACAGTTCACGAAGGTCGCAAAGATTACACATGTGACAAGTGTGAAAAAAAGTTTGGACAAAAAGGTAACTTGCTCTCCCATCTAAAGACTGTCCATGAACGTCGAAAAGATTTTGCATGCGACAAGTGTGAGATGAAATTTGGACGAAAATCGCATTTGATCGACCATCAGAAGATAGTCCACGAAGGTCGCAATCATTATGCATGTGACAAGTGCGAGAGGAAATGTAGGGATCAAAGAGAGTTAACTAAGCACCAAAAGATAGTTCATGAAGGTCGCAAAGACTACGTATGCGATAAGTGTGAGAAGAAATTTGGACTTAAATGTAATTTGTTCATGCACTTGAAGACAGTTCACGATGGTTGCAAAGATTTTGCATGTGACAATTGTGACAAAAAATTTGGGGTTCGAAGCAATTTAATCAAACACAAAAAAACATTCCATGAAGGTAGAAAAGACTACGCATGCGAGAAATGCGAGAAAAAATTTGGACTGAAATCCAATTTAGTCAGACACCAAAAAACAGTTCATAAAGGTTGTAAAAATTACTCATGAGAGATGTGCTAGAAGAAATGATGATTAACAGTTGTAAATATGTATAGATACTTATGCAAATAAATTTTTTCAATTTTAATAACAGTTGTGTCAAATTGATTGAGTCTCACCATATATCTATTACAACTTTTAAATTGTCTTAGTGGTATGTTTTCAGATTTTACGTATGTACTACTGATTAGTATACTGTGTGTAGAATTTTTCAAAATTAGTAAAAGACTTGATAATTGTTTTATCCCTTGCTTACTACGTTTATCTGTCCAATTTGAATTGCGTAAGTTGCCCATGCAAAGTTGCGCCGTATTGAGAGCGGCTCCTCTTTCAATCCGGCACTGGCTCCAAACAGAAAGGTAACTCTTTGGAACTCCGGACAGAAATATGTCGGATTCAGCGTTTGATTCTGTATGCTTATACTAGTGCCACACTAACCAATGATCATTAACAACCAGAAGGATTGATTTTATATCGACTTTCAACGTCATTTTTTCCATGTTAATGGCCAAAAATTATGATAAAATGCGTAGATGAAATGTTCGAACAGATTAAACGATAAAAAAAAAACGTTAACATTTTTGCAACAAATTTTTTCGCAATGCTGAAAAAGGTTGATTCTAAATAAGGCTCCTCGTGAATTCACACCTACATATTTCCGACAATTTTTGAGTGAAAAGTAATATAGCAATCCATAGGGTAATCATCCATTGTAGAACAAATCTTCAATTACGTCGATATAAAAATTTAAAAAGAAACTAAATTTTCTAATATTTAGCTGCCTATTCAAAACAAGGAATCAATGACTGGGTTTGGCAGTTAATCAAATCGAAGGTTTTAATAATTCTGCGTCCTATTCTTCGACAGATTGGAAGGCACAAATTGGAGTCCGACTGAATCATGCGCTGCTGTGTAGCTTGTCAAATGTTCTCGGGGTATCAGGTCGAGATAGTCCTGGCCTAAATTTTTTCGGGAAAATTTTTATCTTCATTGCTAAATAGGTAGATACAAAATATAATAACAATATGACCCTATAACCATGTCGTTGAGTTCCACATCTTTGTCAACAGTACGTACACCACATATAGAATGAAATAATATAATGCACTTGGTACGATTGGATCTAGATCGTCATCACCTGAAACAGACCCTAATTTAGAGATCATCAACGAAGATCGAATCCATGAGGTTGATTTCCGGTGTTAAATGATATAATTCTGGCGGCGGGCAGCTAACAGCTGCTGATATCTGCACGCTATACTGCGCTTGCGCAAAAAAAATTTTTGAGAAAATTGAATTAATTAAAATTGCCCCTGCTAAGAGACGAATTTACACATTTTCTGCATTTATTACAGCATAATAATATCATGAGCGTCGAAATTGCTTGATAATATTTCAATTTCTCTGCGCAAAAATGATTAAATGGTCATGAAGTGACGAGATACCGTCGTTTGAAAATAACTTCGATCTATTGATTTTGGTCAATTTCTTACAAAAAACAACATTAAACAGAGTTCAATGTACTCTCTTTTAGTATTTAGTAAATACTTTTCCGTGGCACTTTCTTCGATAAGCTCGTGTAATTTTTTCTTTTCAATTTCCGCTTTTGACTCAGAATACATCTGTAACTCCCGTTCCATGTCTTCGTACAAAGAATCTTCCAAATGCATCTCTAATTTTTCACTTTTGCAAGACATTTCGATAGGTTTCTCTTTCTTTTGGCGTTGTGCGACGTTTTCAGGCGATACGAAGATAAACCAAGCGGGGAACGAGCGTGTCTTCACTGCTTGGCTGTTGAAAGCTAACTGACGAGTGACGCTTGACCTGTGTTTGGCGGTATATTTATAGGTATTACGCGGACGTCGGAGAGATTCCTTCTGCTTTCGCTTGTATTCTGATTCACCAGAGTCTCTCTTACAATCCGGTTGTTTGAAACTTAAAACCACTATATCTTTTGTTCAAGGTTTCTTTGAGAACTTTTGAATGTACCAAAGTAAAGGTAATTAGGGTTCTCCGCACTCGTTTTCTCTCTTTTTCTCTCTCTCTCTCTCTCTCTCTCTCTCTCTCTCTCTCTCTCTTTCTCTCTTACTTCTATATACCGCGTCTTGATAGCTTGGGTTTTCCGCACTAGGGCTGTGCGAGTATCCGATTTTTCGAGTTTTACTCGACTCGAACTCGGCGATTCTAGTCGGGAAAATTCGAGTACCCGAGTTTTTTCGAATACTCGATTTTTTGTCGAGTACTCGAGTTTTTTCGAATACTCGCAATATATTTAAGTTTTAAGTAATTAAATGATGAATCAACAGTCTCTAGACCCCTCTCTTTTTGTGTATATGCTTATAAGTGTGATATTCGCAGCGGCTAGAACTGGAAGAAGAAAATAATTTAAGGGCTGGAGATAGTACCAGCTACTTACCGACGTACTGAAAAATGTTGTCCTCATTTTTCTCCACGAATAATGAATCAATTATCTTGAAACTTCGAAGTAACGTTCAGAAGATTGATATAATTATGCCTGTGCTCTTGTTTTCCAGGATTTGTCTTATAAGCATACTTAAATTAAATTTTTTGGAATCAGAGGTTATGAAAACCAAAAAACATCAATAAAATCTATTTACTTAAAATTTTTGACAATTTCGGAAAAACAAGAGAACAGGCATAATTGTGTCAATCCTCTGAACGTTATTACAAAGTTTTGAAATGATTAATTAACTATTCATTGAGAAAAATGAGGACAAAATAGTTCGGTACTAAATACCGACTGAGATAGGCCTGGCCCTTAAGGCTCCTCTATACAGACGGACAAATACCGACATACCGATATTATTTTGTACCCATTTTTTTTATTCTCTAGACAACCGTTGAACTTGAAACTTCGTGGGCGTGATTATGAAACTTATAAAAATGTGCCTCTGGAGCCAGTTTTCAATAAAATGTTTAATAAAATCATTTTAACTAATTGTTTGAGAATACGTTACTTTTGAGGTTATAAAAGGAGGATAATAGAAAATCAAGTTTGTTTGAAAGTACCGGTCATTTAATTGAAAACTGGCTCCAGAGGCACATTTTTATAAGTTTCATAATCACTCCCACGAAGTTTCAAGTTCAATGGTTGACCAGAGAATAAATAAAATGGGTACAAAATAATTACGTAGTTGTTATCGACTGAGTGTGTATAGAGGGCCCTTAATAGTACCACACCTCATCTCACTTCCCATTATAAGCATGTATGATGTACACACAAAGAGAGGGGTCTAGAGACTGTTGATTCACCATTACTTATTTAAAACTTAATTATATTGCGAATATTCGAAAAAAATCGAGTACTCGACTCGAACTCGAGGAAAAAACTCGAACTCGACGAGTCGAGTTTTTTCGAGCGCACAGCCCTAGAGTACACCTTCTCTGCATTTTCAAAATGCGAAAATCAGAACTAATAATTCAGCATAAATTTTGTTTTTTATTTTTCACCGTTTCGGTCGGCTTAGACTTTAGAGGTTGTATTAGCCGTGTGCTGTACTATGCATGATAATAATTCCGCTGCAACTGCTCATAATAATGTAAAAACAGCGAACTAGAGGCTCTGACTATGCTCGTCTGAATATTATTGTTATTATTGCTGATTTCTTTAATACACGAGCGACCCCTACAACGCTGTATTTACCTATCGAGCTGATACAGATTCATCATAAGGCGAAAGCACATAAGTAAAATTATAAACAGTATAGTGATGTTCTTACAGTGTAACTGTGTCATGTAAAGTGTCTACGACTGTTTTGGGCCAGTAAAGGAAAATAAAAGTACTGTCATTCCAGATTTTACATGACATAATCTTTCAAAATCAATATAAATATTAAACGTTATTTTGATATTCTTGATTTATCATTCTTGACCATTGTTAAACGTCGTATTATTTAATTCAACGTAAATGATCCTTATCTCAGAACCTATTTTGTGGGAAAACGTGAGTGAAGTCTTCTGATTAAGAAATATGTTTATTTTACAGTTGCAGCATAAGTGTTGATGTGGTATTTAATTTTTGAGGTATACAATTTCACCATCCACCATGTTTTGGCATAATAACTATGCACCTTCTGCAGAAATTGAAAATTTGCTTAATGAAGAGGTAACAGTAATGTTTTAGCTTTTATTTGACAATTAATTATAACAGATATAAATTACAGATATATTTACATAATGCATGTTATTTTATGTTACTTTTGTAATCACTGGAAATTAAAATTTATTACAGGATGTAACGTTGAATAAACTGATGGATGCTGAAGATATTTTACAGGAATGTAAAACTCAAAATAAAAAGTTATTAGATTTGTAAGTATAAATTGAAATCTTACAATGCCTTCATGAAATCCAGTTTATAAAACTTTTATTCTCTTGTTCCAAAAATGCAGTTTAACTAGAGCAGATATCTTAGAAGAATTGGTTGATTTAATTACTATTGAACCATCTACAGACTTAGAAGAGCGCAAAAGATATAAATATTCAAATATAGCTTGTGAATTACTCACATGTGATTCGCCACCGCTCACTAAGAAATTAGCAGGTTGTTATTTGATTTTTACCTACAATTTATTTTCATTTTTAGCCTAACTCAATTTTAGCATTACTATTTTTAAAATGTACTTCTTTTTAAAATAAATAATATTTTAGGAAATGATGTTTTGTTGGCAAAGTTATACTCTTTCATAGATAGAGAAGAGCCTTTAAATCCATTATTGGCTTCATTTTTTAGCAAAACTTTGCATGCATTATTAAGACAGCCTTCAGATCAGGTAATCATCAAATATTTTTAATTTTTGTTTTTACCAATATGATTTTATCACTTTATAATGATTTTTTATTTGTTAAGGATTGGTTTTCATATCAGTTTGTATGTCTACAAGTTTTGGAATCTTTGAAGAATCGAAAAAATTGTGTTGATCTTTTGCTGCAACACTTGGGAACTTCTGCAATCATGGATTTAATATTGATTCTATTGACCAAGATTGAAGGAAGTGAGATGCGTCAAAATATTTTTACTGTAAGGAATCCTATTAAGAAGTATATAATGTTTTTTAAATTTCATACAGTTTATAATTAATTTTTTTAGTGGTTAGATGACCAAAATTTGATACAACGTCTAATAAAATTACTATCTCCAACTTCTGATCCTGAAAAACATACAAATGCATCACAACTTTTGTGTGATATAATTAGACATTCCCGAATGGAAATGGAGAAACAACCTACTTTGATACTGCAAACATTGCAATCGTAAATACATTTTTAATTTCATTATTAAAAATTGCTGTACTATGGAAATAATTAAAATACTTTTACAGTGAAGAAACGATACGTTTAATTCTTGACACAATTTTAGTGGAAGAAAAAGTTGAAACTAGTATTGTTGGTGGAATTAGAGTCTTGAACAATATTTTGGGTCAAAAAAAAGAAAAAGACACAGAGACAACTGATGGATATGGTTCACCATTTAACAATCATGTAGAAGATGAAGAGCGTGAAAAATTTATCCCAGTAATAATACCTTACATAAGTCGACTTAATAACTTATTAATTGATCCACCTGTGGTAAGTTGGATATTACATATCTACTACTTATGGATCAATAAATCTTTGATCTTTTTTTACAGAAAGCATCTGTAAAAACTACTGCTGGTCTAGTAGAGAAACCTTTTGGAATGACGCGATTGTACATTTTAAAATTATATGTTAATCTTCTTTCAACACAAAATTTAGATATTTTAACTGCATTTGCAGAATTGAATACCTTTAGTATTCTATTGGTAAGTACAATTAATTTTGTAAAACCTTGTTCACATAACTAATGTTTTATTAAATATTTATCTATTAATATTTATTTCAGGATTTATTTTTTGAATTTTCATGGAATAATTTCTTGCACAGTCAAGTGCAAAAATGTTTGTCTTTAGCATTAAAATGCAGCTCTTCTGATGTTAACGCCAAACTATTTGATAATGTAAAAACCTTTAGTATCAATGTCTTTTTATATAAAATTATGTGTAACATTTAATGCTTATTCTGTTTTGGACTTTTTTTCAGATTTTTATCAAAGCTAGATGTATTGAAAGATTACTCGAAGTTTGGGATGAAGATTATAATAAAAGGTAAAATACAAAGCACTTTAGCCATATAGTTTCATTTTGATTTTTAGAAAACTATCATATCTTAACATTTCTTTTTACAGGAAAGATAACAAGGGTCACTTAGTTGTAATTGCTAATGATATTTTAATTAAATGCTCTGAAGATGATGATTTTAATTCTTTCTTAAAAAAAAATTTATCTGAACCAGTTTTTTCTAAATGGGAGGATTTTGTATCAACTAAGTTACATGATACTAATGAAAATCAAAAAATGTCTCTGGTAAGTAAACAAATAAATAGACGAGTTAATAACAAAAAAATTTATTAGCGCATCGAAAAATTGCTAATTTTTTTTATTGTTCTAATTAAAATATTACTTTTAATATCAGGGCAGTCCCAAATTGACAGAATCGTCTGGCGATGAATATGCATCATCAATGTCTACTTTAACATGGTTGAAAGAAGTATGTAGAAATTTTATGAATATCATAGATAAAGAAATTCGAACTATTAATTAATTATTTATTATTAATTTTAGTCCTTCATGAATTCTCAAGACCAACCGAATGCATCTTCTAATGTTAGTTGTTATCAACCAATATTAGAAGCAGAGAATTGTTATTTCAACTTCCAATCTGATAAGTTTCATGACGTTGATGCAGAAATGTAAGAAATATGCTATTTAATTTGTTAATAATAAAGTTGTCTAGATGGAATGGCTTAGTACTGGTGCCGTTACTTTTATCAATCATACATTATTTAGAATTTTATTATTTTTACATTACAGGAACTCTTTGGAACAAATGAATCAACAATCTCTTAACTTATCCCAAGATTCTGAATTTCTGAAAAGCCAAGAAATATTTAATAATATTTGCGATGATGTTAGTAGTGCTATGCAATGGGGACAAAGTCATGACTGCAATACCGACCAATCTGATTGGTTGAAAAATGAGAAGAATAGTTCAAGCTCTTCGGACGAAGACGAAGGTTCTAGAGATTTTGGCATGGAAGATAATTCCACTGATCGTAAGTTATTTTATTAAATTTTTCAGTCCAACATATGCGTACCTCTTCCTTGACTGCAAAAATCTTAGTAAATATTTCCTGATGTCTTAATTAGAAATACCACGGTACACAAGTGAGGCAATTTTTTATTTACTTTTTTTTATTTTATTTTTTTGATGCGTTGTATATTGATTGAAATATTTCGATTATTTTTATGCTTAAACTGTAAACGGCTGCCTATAATTGTAAACCGTCTTACGTCTAAGTATGTTGGAGCATAATCAAAGCAGTTTTTTATTTAGGAATAACACAACATTTTTTCCAAACATCCAGATCATTTTACGTAATTTCATATCAAGATCTCCAAATGAAGCGTTGATTTTTAGATATGTTTTCAGTTAGTTTACTGCGCTGCTCCGAACTAGGTTTATTCCATTTAGGAACACTTAATCAAAAACGTGGTTTTTATTGTGAAATTTTGAACAAAATGTACTCACACTTATCTGTTGTAGAATCAAACAGATTGCTATTTGCTAAAATTGAAAGTCTCTAGCAACCCCTGATGCGAATATATTTAAAAATTAATTTTTTTAGTTTGGGGTCAAATGAAATCTTTATCGATGAGAGATGCATCATCCCCTATCAATCTTTGGAGTTCAAATACGGTTGAACCTGTTGAGCAAACTGGATGGGCCAACTTCGAAGAGTTTAGTTCTGCGCCTTGTGAAGAAGGTTTAGTACCTTCAACACAATGTGAAAAACCAGAGGCAGAAATAGTTAATGTACCAGCTGAGCCAGAAAATCCAGTTAAATCCGAACTATTGTCACCAATCATTGACGCCGATTCCTCAATAGTCACAAATGAACCAAATTTGACACATAATGCTCCATTAGATTTTGAAGACGAAAATCTTTCTCGTTCGTCCGATTCAAGTGATGAAAAATCTTCAGAAATCGTTCCAGACAGCAACACAAACGCAACCGAAACGGACGGCCGGTATTTAAAATAATAATGTAAAAAGTAGAGTAACATTAATTCTCTTTATTGACCAATTCATGAAGCTGATTAATGTGTAAGATTTTACTGATGAGCTTCGTTAGAATGTGGTATAACAAACAGAATTACTGTTAATCTTAAGATACCGTTTTCTGTCAGTTAATTTCATATAAAAAACTTTTATTTTCAGACCACCTCAAACAGAAGAACTACCCAAAAGTTGAAAAATGTTCATTTAAAAAATTGTTCAATTTTGTTAACAAACTGTTAAATATAATAAAAATAAACGGTAGAATTAATTCCACTAAAAATTTTTGAATAGCCTTGTACTTTTCCCATTATACTAAATAGCTGTCTGAAAGAACAAACTTACCAATTTATACATAATCAATATGTTGAAAAAACATTTAAAAGTACCAAAAAAAGAATAAAACCATTGTGATAAAACCATCTTTTACTAATTTGGAAAAATACAGGAAACATTTTATGGTTTAAATTAAATTATTACGTCGTTAATATCATTATCGATCACTTATTTTGTAGTGGAAATAATCAGTCTTTCAGCAAATTCATCAAAATCTTTCACTAGTTCACGCTTGATCAATTTATTTAGCTTATCATTATGTGAATCCTCGTTCCATTCATAGCTCCGAACAAGATGTGAAAAAGACTCTGGGCTCATCGCTGCATAGAAGAGCTGCAGGAACCAAGTAGCTAAAAATGCTGGAGGGTAGTAATTAATAGTACTAGTAAGACTGAATCAACCAGGCTCCATTTTTACGAAAATTTTATTTAAACATATTAAAATTTTATTACAAATATCTATACATATATACAATAGTCAATCATCATTTCTTCTGGCACTTCTCTCATGCGTAGTTTTTAAAATCTTCATGAATTGTTTTTTGGTGCTTGAGCAAATACAATTTGTGTCCGAATTTCTTCTCGCATTTGTCGCATGCATAATCTTTGCGACCCTCATGAACTGTCTTATGGTGCTTCAAAAAGTCTAGTTTTCTTCCGAATTTCTTCTCACACTTGTCACATGCGAAATCTTTCCGGCCTTCGTGGACAGTCTTTTGGTGCAAGAGGAAATGCTGTCTATATCCAAATTTTTTATTGCACTTATCACATGCAAAATCTTTGCGACCATCATGTACTGTCCTTTGGTGGACAAGCCAATGCTGTTTAAGTCCAAATTTCTTCTCGCAGTTATCGCATGCGTAATTTTTGCGACCTTCGTGGATTGTTCTTTGGTGCTTCAACAAATCTGATTTTTGTTCAAATTTCTTCTCGCACTTGTCACACGCGTGATCTTTTCGACCTTCGTGAACTATTTTTTTATGTTTGATCAATTTCGATTTTTCGCCAAATTTCTTATCGCGTTTGTCGCATGCAAAATCTTTGAAACCTTCGTGGACTATCTTTTGGTGCCTGGTCAAATCTGTTTGATCTCTGCATTTCTTTTTGCACTTGTCGCACGTGAAATCTTTGCGACCTTCGTGTACTGTCATTTGATGTCTCATCAATTTCCTTTTTTCGACAAACTTTTGCTCACAATTTTTGCATGCAAAACCGTTGTGACCTTCGTGTATCGTCTTTTGGTGCCTGTTCAATTTCGATTTTTCGCCAAATTTCTTATCGCATTTGTCGCATGCGAAATCTTTGCAACCCTCGTGGACTATCTCTTGGTGTTTAATCAAATTGCTTCGATCCCCAAATTTCTTCTCGCACTTGTCACACGCGTGATCTTTTCGACCTTCGTGTACTGTCCTTTGGTGTTTAAGCAAATCTGATTTTTGTCCAAACTTATTTTGGCACTTGTTGCATTCATAATCTTTGAGACCGTTATGGACTAGTCTTTGGTGCCTCATCAATTTATATTTACTTCCGAATTTCCACTTGCATTTGTCGCATGCGTAATCTTTGCAACCCTCGTGAACTGTTTTTTGGTGCCTGATCAAATGTGCCTTTTGTCCAAATTTCTTTTCACACCTGTCACATGCGTAATCTTTGCGACCATCATGAACCGTTCTTTGGTGTGTTAGCAAATGCGATTTTTGTGTAAATCTCCTATCACAATTGCTGCATGCAAAATCTTTGCGACCCTCATGGACTGTCTTTTGGTGTACACGCAAAATCCATTGATATCCAAATTTCTTCTCGCATTTGTTACATGAGTGATCTTTGGGACTCTTGTGGACTGTCTTCAGGTGAAATAGCAAATATGATTTTTTTCTAAATTTCTCATCACATTCGTCGCATGCGAAATCTTTGAAATGTTCATGGACTATTTTTATGTGCAAGAGCAAACTCTTTTTATTTCCAAATCTCTTCGCGCACTTTTCACATAAGTAATCTTTGAAAACTTCGTGGAATATTTTGTTATGCTTGAGTAAAGTTGGTTTATTTTCAAATTTTTTCCTGCACTTGTTACACGTGAAATCTTCGTGATCTTTATGTACTAATTTTTGGTGTGTAAGCAAACTCGATTTTTTCACAAATTTCCTTTCGCAACTGTCACATGAAAAATCATTGCGTCCTTTGTGTACTGATATTTGGTGTCTACTCAAATGACTTCGAAACTCAAATTTTTGTTCGCATTTGTCACATTCGTAACTTTTTTGATCAATATGAATTGATTTTCGGTGTGTTATCATGCTTGATTCTAACGTAAATAAGTCCTGACGAATATCACAAACGTTTTGTTTGTCGTTGGAAGAAACAATGTCAAGTTCACTTAAATTATCATTTAAGACAACATCTTCGGATTTCTTCTCATTATTATCCATTCCGATGCATAAATTAAACGATGGATCCTTCTACTTGGTGTCACAAAAATTGAATGAGTAAATTTTATATTAGGTATATAACGACTTGTTTCATCGGGAGCAACATTTAAACTAATTTATGTTACCAATAAATATGATCAGTGTATTGAGGGACGATGTCAAAATCGATTATTATCATTTTGTTTACAACTAAAGTATCGATTTATCTGTATAAATATGATTCTATTAGAAAATATTGTTATAGTTCCTAATATATGATGCGACAAGTATATACGCTACAAGGTTCGAAAAGTTCGGATAAAAAATAAAAAATGAATAATTATAGATTAATGAAATATGTGTACCATGTCATTTTTCAGTCTTCATTTAATAGGATTATTATTAAATGCAATGTTTACATATTCAAAATAAATAATATACCAACAACGTGAGTTGTAAGTTTTGAATAAACCTCACATTAGTTAAATAAAATGGCGCCAATATGAAAAATATGTATTCAGTCTAGTATATATTTCGGAAAACTACCCAAACAAAAAACTCGCATAAATTTTACATATACATCAAGATCTTATGTTGGATTTTATCTACGATAATCGACAGGAGAAATGGTATAGAATTTTATGTAAGAGGTGAGCATTTTTTAACCAATGATAATTTGAATTTTACATCGAAGAATTGTTAATTCAAAGTTAGATAAATATCTAAAAGTCGGTTAACTAGATACATAACTTAGAATTATGTACTTTAGATAGTAGGCAAGTGCATAACTTTTTATGTTTATGTAATTATTATATACGCGCATCACGTGTAACAAGGTAGAGATTACACTGTTTTTTTACTTTAATTGAAGATTTAATACCACTTCGCCGACATGTCTAAACTTAAATATGTTTTCATTATGGATCGACAAACGATTCGAAATTAAATCTTTCAAATTTATTAAATCAATTTTCAAAATTTACCAGCTTGAAAAACTCGTACGAGCCACGACTGAATTTTATCTTCGTATCAGCTAGATGAATCAAGTAAAAATCATAATAATGCATAATTTAATTTTTTTGTTTTCACTTAAATAACATGTTAAATTTTTAAATTAACTTAACCCCTCGAAGGAGCAGAATTATAATTTCTTTTGAAACGTTATAAAATCACTCATCGTTTGAACAACAAAAAAATATTCAAATGTCTGAATCTACATTAAACTCGAAATTTACGAGTAGAGAGTTTCACATTACCGGTGCTGCACGTATGATTTTCAAAAAATTCAAAACATTAGTCTACAATGCTTTTGGGGAACTAAAAATTTCCAATAAGTTTGTTAAACATTTTCCACAAAATTCTTTATGATAGTATCTTAAAGTTTTTTAAAATTATAAAATCTTTACTTGGCATTTGTGAATGAGACTAATTGCCACCACTTTTTAATTAAATTACGAAAGATAGATAATACAAAAATAGAATCATAGAAATAATAAACAGTGTAAATAAAACCTCTCAAAATGAATCGTGATGTTATAATGATTGTGTATACACGCAGTTATTTTATGTTTGAATGAGCTACACTACTTTCTATAATTGCATCATTTCTACATTTCTACAAGCATTATGGTGAATAAAATCGTGATATTTGCACAACGAATGAATTTTTAGAGTACCCGTGTAACTAATATTAATAATTTAAATATTTACTTCGACGAAGCATTATTAATTAATAATTGATGATTAACTTTCCAAATGTGTAGTATAATGCACTTGACTTTGAATAATGATTTTGTTATTAATCTGAAGAAAAATTAAATTGAATATATATCAATATATTACGATAGTTTTCAGAGATTTTTTTTGCACTCTTACTTTTTCTTACTTTTATTTATACACGAATCTCAACAATAACGTTTTAAATCGTTTCTCAAATAAAAACTTGACATTGAAGAAACAATTCAAAAATCTAGAGATACCGAAAACTTTAAAATCTAAGGCTAAAATCGAAATATTTATTAAAAACGCATAAAAATATTTCGAAGAAACTTTTTTGCTGTTTCCTAATCAGAAAATGAAATAATTTAGCACAGGTAAATTTATTGGTAAGAAAAAGATCTATAAGTATCGTACAAATTCCACTCCGCAATCTGCGCTTTGAATATAACATTTTTCAAATAAAAATTTAATTGTAAGACAACTTTATATGCAAAAACGAACAAGACAATTTTAAAATTATTTATTTTAACCAACACTTATGTAATTTACAACCTGAATAATTATGCCCGATTTTTTGCCAAATGTATGCAAATATATTCCTAAAACTTTTAAAATACTTTACTCATGATTTCTATAATTATTGTATGTTATATGAAATATTTCTATTATATTTAAGCAGATATTCTTTTATGTACTGCGCATTCATAATTAGCCAGGGGACGGAGTGGAAGAAAATTATAACTATCCGATTTAAAATGATATCATGCAACGACTGAGTGAGGAGAGGGCGCTGCTCCCTTCTTAGCTAACGGTTGAAGTTGTAAATTATAAATCGTAAACATCGTAAACACTAAAATGTAATAATAGTTCGTATTTGCTGAAGAAGAATGTATTTTCCCATCGTCAAAGCGGTATTAAATATTTTAAGTTATAAATAAAATTACTGCAGTAAAAGGTACAATTATGTTAACTACAAGAAAGTCTACATTCGCATAATTTAAGTACGTGAAACGTGTTGAATAGGAAAAGTATTATCTTGCGCAAGTATATCCGAGCATTATAAATACTCTTACAGTTCAGTATCACTTCCTTATAACTTTCTCTATATTCAAGTGCGCTTGCAAATGATACATGAATCCTTATGGCAATTATTTGAGCATTTTAATTGCATATACAAAGTTTCAAGAGGGTTTGAATGAAAATCATATTTCATTAAACTTGTATCTTCGTTTACAAGTTCGATTTTTAATGAAAAAAAACCTGTTGCCCGAAAATTCTACATGTTTCTACTGAATTATTAAATTATGATCATTGAATTTAAATATTATTCTTACACATTGTCAAAAATAGTTTTTGTAAAAAATATACCAAAACTAGAATTCTTTCCCCCCAAAAAAAGCTAAACATAAAATACATATATTAAGTGACAACTTAATTTTATATAATTGGACTCAGTATTATACCTCATGGGCTTTACATAAGGATCAAGGCCCCTTCCATGAACTATCATTGCTCCCCACTATTTTGGGGCAGTACACGCTATGCCAACTACAAGTTATAAATCTTTATAAATACATTACATTTGATGAAGATTGATTCAGATATACTCGAGCTGCATGTTTGGGTTTTATCGACATTAATAATTTTTAAAAACATTTCAACATGCAGTTTTTCCAGATTATTGTAAGTTTCTTTAGATTTATACTTTATTGATATTTTATTTTTGTGCTAGCTTTATTCTGTTTACTCAATAAATTTTATTGTGTAGATCTTAGTCAAAAGTATTAAATGATACAAGCTGATTTTAAAGAAACTTAAAAAATGATTTATATTGAATACATACCTTTTAAAAATTACAACTTTTATTTTTGGATATAATATAATAATTTCTTTTCTTTTCTATATTTAATAATAAAAATAAAGCTATATTTTAAGAATACTTATATAAAAAGTAAAACAAAGTTCATATGCAAAATATTGCAGCAAGTTTCTTTTGTTTAACGTACTTGTACTTATTTGTATATTCATCTTGACAACCTGACTCTCTTCAGTATTTTTAAACTAATAATTTGAGATTAATTTGATATATTCTTGATAATATTTAAGTACAAAATGATTTATATAATAAATTATTCTTTATTCTAAAAGAGCAGTATTGGTACAAAAAAACAACATGCTATGTAAAATTCATTTGTTTGACTTTATTGGCTTGTATCACTCAGACATTCAATCATTAGCTTTTTTAAATCACAACTTATAATAAAAAAGTAAAACTAAGTAAAACAAAGCAAAATAGTTTAACACAAATAAAAAAATAGTTTTCTACAACTGACACTTAATTACAGTTTTTTGCATGCATGGTTTTTGTGGGAGTAATAGCCAAACCTGGAGACCACCAGTAAGTAAACCAAGATTTATTTTAATCATTTTATTCAAATACTACAACTGAGTTATGAAAAACACATTCATTTTTCCATTTCACTGTTACGTATCAGTTATATGCTGTACGCTATGTTAGAATACACATAATATCTCATGAAAAAGTGATTTCAAATAAATTCAATCATCGTGTCACAAGTTCTAATGCAGTAACATGAACATGAAAAAATTTAAATTCGTTCATTTTCTTCTTGCACTTTAAAAACAAACTTTTTCAGACTACACAACAACATTTATCCAAAAATGTTAATTTTGAAATGCATATTTATGAAAAACTTTATGTAACTTGGCTGCTTTATATAATTAAAATGAAACTTATTTAGACGCGCTTGGGTTGGGGAATAAGTCTGGAAAAATCGGGCAAGCGACCGAACGCGATAATCCTAGGATTATAGACTGCCGCAATCGAGTCTTTAGTGCAGTGACTTAGGTTGGCGCTCGTGAGCGGGGAAAGTCTTTTTGCTCCTGTTTGATGCATGCGGCCGATGCGTGACATACAGTTAGTACTTTTACCGACCCTGGCCGCATTCGCGGACTTGGTTTTTGAAAAGGACAGTACATTAAATATTCTACATTTCGAAAGTGCTAAAAAAATGATTGCCCGTCAAATTTCGTATTTGTCTCTAAAAATTATATTGGAAAATTATGCATCTGGCTACATTCAAAACGCGGAAATCTCGTATAACAAAGCAATTTTTAACGATTTGACTGCCTAGAACGATAAAAATTAAATATGGCTTTTCTTCAAACCTCTTTTTATTATTGAAAACGTGAAAATTCGTCTCTCACAGGAATTTTTTCAAAGGTCGTGCACGTACATGAGCATTGACATCGGTAGTTTTTGTCTGCTGGATTAAGCATTATTTAATTACGGTTTTTGTTTGTGTAAAAGCCACATCCCATCGGTAATCAGAGTAGTTGAGTGAATCGGTAATTTTTTGTTTTGAATTACTAAATTAATTAGCGAAAAATAGAAAGTAAATTTTGCATAGGTGCTTATATGGGGGGACACGTAGTCGATGTATCTAGTATGTTCTAGAGTATTAAATTGTGAGCTAAAATAATTATAAATTGTTCTTCTAGTGAACATGTGAGAATCCACGTGCCATATAAGATACATACCGTGCATCATCATCATGTAAAAAAGGTCCACATTCCAGTGACTAAAATAGAAAAGGTACAAGTACCGGTGCCAGTTCATCATGTGAAAAAAATCGAAGTTCCTGTACCTTATCCTGTCGTTGAGAAAGTCGTGGAAAAGGTGCATGTCCCAATACATGTTCCTGTGCATATACCCGTTCATCATCATCACGAATCTCTACCCGTTCATCATCATCATGAGTCTCACCACCACCAGGGTTGGTCTTAAATAAATGGCCCGAAATTAGATAATCATTTACTGCATTATCGTACAGTATTTTTATAAAAATTTGTCTCGATAATAACTCTGTTTTTTTACCGTCTTTCATCAAAAATGCACTAAAAATCACCTAGTAATACTTCAGCTTTACGTATAAATTTATAATTCAAAATAAAAAAAACTCAAAAAAAAATTCTCAATCAAGATCATGAAAGATTCTAATGCATCATGAAAGAGGTATTTAGATGATCTTTTGTTAATGTGTATTACTTTCAAAACATTTTCCTACCTTTTATATCTATTGAATACTACGTAGAACTATGTTTGCACGATACATTTTCGAATCTCAAAAATTATTATCATTCCTCCATCAACCAGTAAGATAAGTAGATACAATAACTTGATAGGCAAAAATTAAAATGAATTTATATTACCAAAACCGCTGATCAAAATTGAATTTTTTTTTTTATAGCGAATTCTAATAAGCGTTTTGTGAATGAATTTTCTGCATTTAATGGAGATTTTTAAAAAAAGCATATGAGACACCATGTTTTAATGCATAATCTACTATTTCCTCTTAACGTAGTTCAAATTCATTTCTCGAAGAAAACATCAACCGACTAAATACTATATTGTTATCGATTTTTGGTGATGATCGATAATTTATATATCATATTTTTGCCGAAGGACTGTCAAATGAAAAATTATATTTTTAGATGTAAATTAATGTACGCTTCTACCCGTTTTCTACTTACTGCATTGAAAACTGTTTGATTGTAAGACTTATATAAATCCAAAGTGGTGCTGAGGAATCGATATTGAATATCGCCGAGTACGTGGCTACAAACTTTGACTATTTTACTTTGTACAACATGTTGTAATTGACATAAGAATTTAATTGCTTAAGAATAAACTGTAATAAAAATTTATGGAACTTGTTCGACTTTTTTTCACCTTAAAATTTGGTATCTCTCTAAAGATTTTCTAAAGACCCAGATTTTACCCAATAACATTAATGACCAAAAAAAATGTTATACTGAACATAAATGTTTGCAAAAATAAATTTGAACTATAAATCCCTTCTTACCTTGATTTAACTTGAAATTCCCCATTTTATTAGTATCTAACATATTGCAGCAGACCTAGACAATATTTTTTCGAATTATTAATTGTGAGGATGCAAAATGATGTGCGCTTTTTACGTAATTACGATGGTTTGTCTGGATAAAAATTTCATAAGTTTTAGTAATGTTTGTATTAAAATAAATCAGGGTCAAACATTTTTTCTCAATCTTTATTTATTATATTACATACATGTTAAAATATAACATAGAATTACGAATAAAGTAAAAAATTGTCGTACATCAAGTATGCACTGTTAAAACCTTCACAATAGTGTACAAGTAACTATGAATATTTGACATAATTAACAATTTTCTTTGATATATAATTTGCTTATATACTCGATTGCAAGCCCAACAAATTTGTTTCTCCAAACATAATAAAGGTGCTAAGTACTTTTTCTCCAGAAGAAAATCTCAAACCTTCATGCCCAAAACGTGCATTTTCTAACTCATCAGTGTTAGAAAACCTCGTTTCTCGATTCATGTTTTTCTTGTTTTCAAATTTTAGTATTATATTATAAAATAATATAATATATTACAAAAAATTATAAAATATTATTTCAAAAATTACAACTTTTTTAGAAAATTTTTTTACACTTCATCGTACTCTAATAAACCCATCAAATATTCTCATCACACCGCAGATTATTGAAATTTTTTAAAATACGAATTACAAAATATGTGGCTTAAAGATAAAGTTCAAGTTCTACCTACACGAAGACTTGTCAAACTATATTTTTATAAATATTTCTTTGAATAAACAGAATTATCTTTAAACAGATTTTACATTTTTTACTTATGAAAATAGTACATAGACATTAAATGTACATTTATAGTAGTTCGTGACTGAATTTCACACGATATCGTACAATGCTCGTGTCATAGAGGACACTTTCTGGCAGGGCTATAAATAGTATCCAAACTCCATGATTCAACCATACCAAACCGTCAAGTGTCCCCTGAGGTACGAGTGTCGCAAACTTCTACAATACTTAACGTCATAAGCCAAACAATCAAAGGCATTTATTGTCTTTACATACGCTATACGGCCACCGAATAGATACTTTTTTGAAATTATTACGAGTTAGAAAATATGACGTACTGTTTGAGAGATCTAAAAAGTTTTACATCTATTCGAAAATCATGTTTTCAATTTATAGTTATAAAAAACTCCTAGAAAAATAACGCAGAACTATTGAGAAAACGTGCATTTTGTATATCTATAAATTTCAAGCACGACTCCCTAATAGAGAATGGTAAACAGTTATTAAAAGAAAGATCGCTATTTACCTTTAATCTCTCAATTGAGTACTCTTGATAGTTGTTTTAGACTTAAAGAGTTGTCGACTTTACATTAAATTTCTATCAATAACAAATTGAAAAAGTATGTATCGTGTGGCATTTATTAAACTATATAAAAGTAGAAAATTCAAATAAATATTATTCTGTATTGAAAAAATTCTTAAATGTACCAACATGCAGTATTCTGATTAGATTGGAAACTGTAGTGTCTTTTTTCAAATGCTCGAAAATATTTATTCAAATATTTATTTTAATTTATTGTGCATTTACAATCTGAGTTTTTAATATCTTCGCTGTTAATTTTATACAAAAATAATTTTTCAGAAATTTAATCAAAGTTATATTACGTTCGAACTTTGAAAGAAGCTATTAATTTTTAAAAATATTATTTTTTTCAAAACTCTCAGCAATAAAGCTTCAGAGTTTCAGCAACCAAAAGAGACATTTTCTTTAACTATTAGATAGTTCTAAAATATTTTTAATTAATATAATTATCAAAGTTATTTCGCTGCACGAACAACTTGGAGGGATATAAGGGGGCTCAGTTGAAGATTTTATCGAAATTTGAGTAAAATTTATTCGAATTTGTAATCTCGAAATGAAAACGTTCGACAAAACGAATTCGTTAAATTCTGCGTACAAATCTAAATGCGAGAAATTGTGAGTGTCAATCGTGCCTAGAAATTGTTTCTGTAAAAAAATATTACATCAGTAATTCACATCGCCTTTTTGTAAATTTTAAACCGTTTTTATCTCAGTGTTTTTTTTTCAAAATAGCCGATCAACTAGAAAATAGTGAGGCAGTTGTAAACAATACATGATTATCAACCGATTTTCCGAGTTAAGTACTACATCCGTAACGTCTAATGTAACGACGATGTAGTAGTGTTAATGATTCGTACTACCTTATCTTTTTTCGCCATCTATTAATTCTCTACGAATTAATTATCTTATTAGCCATCAACAAACTTTCCAAGAATTTAACCTGCTTTATTGAGCATAACTAATAATGGACTATACAATAGAGACTTGAATGCTTCCAAAAAAGAGCGTATTAAGCAGGCAAGGAATATTCCTTCAATCTAATAGATGTGGATAAGAATATTAGGTCTTATTCGCCACGCCTAGATCTTTCAGATTTTGCAGAACTTTGCTCTCTCATATACGAATATAGTCCCGTGACAGGTTCGAAAACGACTTAAGTAACCAGAGGCTCAAATCTATTTTCATTGCTAATTTTAGAAATGGGATCGAATCTCTGAACAATGTCTGTGTACGCGTGCGTATACGTCCGTACACAAAATTCTTGGAAAAAAGTTGTTTTATTTTAAATGGACTAGTTGCTTTTTATATCGTTTTATAATTAAGATACCACCCCTCTAGAGAACTCAGAATTTATATTTTTTTTTCAAAATAAGGGCTCACAGCACGAACCGAACGCAAAATCGATTAATTTTTATCATTGGAATTTTTCATAATTTACACGTGATTTTAATGGATCAGACAACTCGGTTACAAAAAATAAGTCCAAAAAACGTGTCATAAAAAGCGTACGTAGACAGTAAGTGCATTGGTACTTTTTTCAGCTGTAACCAATTTTTCGTAAATTTATTTTAATGAAATTAAAAAATGTTCATAATGGTTGCTGTTAACTCCTCCAAAAACGTCAGTAATATTAACTCGATATTATGTTCTCTTACGAGGACATCAACTAAATGAAATTAAGCTAAATTTCTGAAAATGTATGCTTCACGCAGTAAAAAAGTAGTTTTCTCAGATTATAAACATTATCACGATATTTTTTAAAACATTCGAGAAATGTTTTTAAAAATAAACTGTTTCGGGGGGACGAATTAAAACAGTCCCCTATGACTAGTAGACATATTGAATAAATACTTTCGATGAGGATTGTAAGACATGGAGAAGCGTCCGTATGGAATAGGTGCTGGTAATGCATTGTTCGTCGAGTAACTTGGAACTTTTTCTTCGTCGGAATAACGTTTTCGCTCCGCGGATCTTCTTCTGACTTGCAGAGTCTCGTTGTTCGGAGCGCAATATATTTTATCGTACATTTTTCTATTGGGCAAAGGCAAGGTATGGCTCCGCGCTTCGAGCTGTCTATTGTCTTCCCTCAACGCGTACAAATGTAATTTTTGCGGCATCGTTAAACTAAGGGAGGGATTCGCTCTTGGATTATTGGTAGACACCAGAACGTTCTTTTTTCGATCGTTGAATCTCGTATAAAAACTTTTCCTATGAATACGATCTATTACGGAATCGGCTACTCTACGGTCGTTGCAGCACAAGGAGTACGATGGCGAAGCTTGCGACGAGGATAAACCATTGACAGGCTGATACGCGCTGTTCGACGAAACCGACGGAGAGTCAAAACTGCGCAAATCTTCGCTAGAGTCGAATGAGTCTCTATTCGATCGAATTTCTCTCGATCTGAGTTGCGACGGCGCTACAGTTTGAGTCTTTTTGTCGTCCTCTGGGCTGGTACTTTTCGAGGGTTTCATTAATTTGCTATTCATTTCGAATTTTTTGAATCTAGAGTCTTTGAACTCTGTTTCCATTTTCTCG